ACAGTGTCCGACTGGTGGTCATGCGTTAATAACACATTAAAGTCGGGTTACGTGCAGCTGTCGGACCTGTGATCATTAGCATCGAACCACAGGAGGCCATGTTCTAGTTTACACCAAACCCACCGGTGGTGCTGATGCTCAGGGTGACAGGTGTCAGACCAGACAGCTCCACACTGATCTGTGCTGGAAATAAGATCTGGCATAAATGAGGCCTCCTTCTGATAATAATACCCTTTTACATTTCTCTGTTTTCTATGGTGGCTTTAGAAATTACTCATCTAGTTTCAGGTTTGATTCCTGATCACTGTGCAGTAGTTATTTCACTTATTATCTACATCGATGCACCTGTTATGATTTACTGTACAGTGACTGTGGAAATAATAATAACACTTTATTTTACAGCTCTGCAAATTGCAGTGTATTTCTAAATAATTTCCTAAAATGTTTCCTGGAAAAACATGTAATTTGGTACTAATTATGTGTGAAGTTATGGAGTGATCAATAGTAGTAGTTATTCCATATGCTAAACTAGCATAAACTTTAGGCTTTTATTCACACAGAAGGTGAACTACACACGTGAAATGGGAAATTTGTCTACAAACAACCACACAATTCATCAATAATAAAGATACATGAATAGTAAATATTTACAGCAGTTTAAATTGAGCATTTTTAACACAACTCGGTGGACAGTCTAAAACAAAATCAGTATTGGTACCAAACTCCGTGATGCTTCACAGGAAACTTTCAGGAAATTATTAGGAAATATAAAGGTTACCTGAAATAATTCACATACCTTCCTCTTTTTGCACATTTTATCATCTAAAACTGATTTAATTAAATTTTTGCATCTTTCTACACAGAATAACCCACAGGGGGCAAATGAATGAACACAATTTAGCAAATTTGTCTTAAAAAGAACTAAAGAAAAGAAATGTCTCATTTACTTAAGTATTCAGACTCCTCTGGTGGGACTCAGCTGCTTCCTTTAATGCACCTGTTTCGATTCTCCTTGAGCTATTGCTGCTTCGGCGTCTGAAATCATTCCCTGCACTATATTTACTGTCCACCATTATTTGTGTTCTTAGTGTGAAATGTTTGCCATTATCAAATCCCACAATAGGCTTTTATTCTCAGAAGTCCTTTTGACTTGTCACATTGGAAAAGCACAGTTTTAAATAATGGCTGAATTCCATTTGGCATCTTTAGTTTCATGATCCTTACATTATAAATACTGTCATGGCAGAATCTTTAATGTTATTAGTGTATGAGGTCCCACCTTTCACACCAGAGACCAAGCCATAAAGACAAAGGAATTATGATTAAATTATGTTAACGCATAGACCATGGCAAATGTATGAAGCCAGTTGCAAAGCTCTGAGTTGCCAGGGGTGCAGTGGGCTCCATCACTGTGATAGTTCAAAGGACTCTTCCTGGAGCTGGTCATCTAGCCAAACTGTGTGTCCAGACAAGAGCCTTGGTCAGTGAGAAGATCAGGTGTGTGGTGCTGTTTTTCACCTGGCTAACATCAGCTCCCCACCAAAGCAGGGTGGCGGCAGCATCGTGACGCTGAGTTGCTTCTCTGCAGAAGCCAAATGTGACCACAGAGTACAGACAAAAGTGGTGGGTCCAGCGCAACAATGACACAAAGTGTACAGCCGACATAGTGCTGGCATGGCTTTGGGAATGGTCTTGCAAAAACCTGGACTTGAATCCTGTAGGACATCTGTTGGCAGACTCTGAAAGGGTCTGTGAGGAAAAAGGACTTCGAGCTGTAACTGCTGTTTAAGGTTTTTCAACAAAGTACTGAATAAAGGGTCTGAATCTGATGTGAATGAGATATTAAAAATTTTGTACTAAATTTGAAAAAGAATTCTAAGACGCTTCCACTGTTTCAGTACAACTGTGGTTGTTGTCTGTAGATCGAAGGCACATTCACCTTTTAAAGTGTGCAAACGGTGAAGAAGTTGGGAGACTTTCCAAAGCCACTGCATATAGTAATATCTCAGTTGTCAGTTTATTAGGTACACCAAGTTAAACCTAATGCAGCAGTCATGCAATAAATCCTCATCCATGAAGGCCCAGTTTTAGAGGCTGTTGTTTGTGCTGCTCTATTGTGTTATACTGACACGTGTTTCAGATTTTTTTTGTCCACCCTATAATGCAGAACAAAACAAAATGCAAACCTTATCACCTTCATGAAGGGAGGAGAACTGTTCTGTCAGTTCTTAATAAAATGGCAACTGAGTGGAGGTAAAATGTCACCATCTTAATTTCAGTCACACTTTACTGTGTGGCTTTTTTAAAAACATTGTTATAGCACGTACAACTGCGTATCATAATTTAGGCTATTTCAGTCTTTGTATTCAATAAGCCCCAGTCATGTCCGACTGAAGACTCATTCTGATGCAGTAGCTTTTTTTTTTTTGCACCATAAAAATCAGGAATTGAAAAAAAACTGACATAATTAGAAAACTATGCACATATCAATGTATTTTAATCCAAGTCATGTCTATTTACATTTCTGATGTTTGTTCTCTCTATAGCAAAGCTGTACAATCAAAAGTGGACAGCATATTGGTGAGTATCAGTGACAAACTATGTCTTTGCTGCATGTTACTGAAAACTGTGCCCCTAATTACCAGAGTCACGTATAGTGTACCTGTATAAGAACAGGTGTGTAACTTCGCTTTTGTTTAAAAAGAATATATTGTGCATGTGTCATGCTTTAGCCTGATGAAGTGGCTTAGTCACCCTGCAATGATGCTTAAAATTTCTTATCTGTTACTTGCATCACAGCAATAGATCTGGGAAAAAAGGGTGTAATGATGATAACATAGTGCACATTATGTTGATGTACATTATACAGTATTGGGCTGAAAATGCACAGTGTTCCAGTTTTTCATTAGTTTTTGTGGCAGGTACAAAAATAAGGTGTTTATCTCTGTAATTAGTCAATATTATTGGTTATTGAGTATATTGAGGTGTTATTATTTCAATCACAGATGTGTCAGTGTGTCGTTTTTTTGAAGTTGGTAAAAGTGGATCTATTTATGGACTTTTATTTGAGCTGAAGTGTCACGTGCTCTGTAGTCATCACAAATCTGTGACAGTGACATCAAAACTGCGATGAAGCTTTTTTGCCACAAAAAAAAAAAAAAAAAAAAAAATCTGTACTTTAATTGCAGTAGTCTGTCTGGCAGATTTCGATAGGCAGGTTTTGTCTTTTTCAGTACAAGTACTGATAAAGCATCCACCTTTTAGCACCTCTTATGCTTCGACACATCAGATTAGGGCAGCTGATGCTTATGGGACCCAACTAACACCTAAATACATGTCTCGCATGTAGATTGTGGTGGGCTAGATATTATCAAAACTTAAATGTACGTTAATATTCCCATGGTATAAACAGTATTCTATATAACAGAATATTGTCCAGCCCAGTTGGAGGAGTTTAACGTTTAATTTCGGGGACATATCTAAATTCCCTTTGTACTTGTGTCTGTCTGACCACTGCCCGTCTGCTTGTAAAGACTTAATTTGACCTGAAATAAGATTTTGCTGCATTTGATCGATGCCACCGTCTGTCTTCATTCTGTGTTCCTCTCATGAAGCACATTCTGTTTGTGAAATATGTGAAAGTTTTAGGCTAATAGACTAACATTTGATTTTTATTTAAATAATCGTTATGACTGTTTTCCTTTGTGATATTTTTACAGCAAGATGTTGAGAAGTTTACAGACATCGAAAAACTCTACCTCTACCTTAAGTTGCCTTCTGGTCCCAGCAGTGGCAATGATAAAAGGTACGTCAAAGACACGCACTTGCCCCAAGTTCTCCACTTTGCTCTTTGGCCTTTCTTGTCTCACACATTCAGCTGCTTTGTTGTTGCTCCCATTACATTTTCTGGTACTGCTGTCTCATTGCTTGTCAAAAATTCAAGTCCTTATCCAGTGGCTGCTACACAGACACAGTTTAGACTCCCAGAAATGAAATCGAATCCTACATTGGTCACCGGTGCGTTGTGTTCTTCGTACGAAATTATCGCTGTATGATTGATTATGAAACAAACCACTGATAAATGTAGACTTTTGCTATACCTAGCTGTCTGTGTTTCATTTGTTTCCCCATATCTATTCATCACCCCAACCCCCAAATTCTGCCCATTTGGACTGAGAATGAGAGGGGGTCCTCCACTCCTGGATTATGGTATTACAGTTTCTGTATTAACAAGAAATGATGCATGCGAGTCAAGGCCGCTGCCTCACCAGATTATTTCTCTTATGCGCCAATTTCAGTGATGCGAGTTCCATGTCGTCAAGCCGTACTCAACAGATGTATGCATTCAACTGGATACGGAATCACCTAGAAGAACACCCAGAGACTTCCCTCCCAAAGCAAGAGGTGTACGATGAATACAAGTGAGTGTGTGACCTTTGGGGTTGGGGTGGTGCAGGGGAACAGAGGAGGGGACTGATGTTGTATGTGTGTTACCTCATAAAGTCTTAGTGGGTTCCCATCTCTTACAGGAGCTATTGTGACAATCTCGGCTACAATCCACTGAGCGCAGCAGACTTTGGAAAGATCATGAAGAATGTCTTTCCTAACATGAAAGCACGTCGACTGGGCATGAGGGGCAAATCTAAATATCCTTTTGTTGTGACGAACCTGTCTACAAAGTCTCCCAGAGTAGTTGTTTCAGTTTTTTTCTGTTTGATTTGGTTGATTGTATGAATGACATCTCTTTTATGTGCCAAGATTTGATGCCGTTTCAGTACTTTTCTCTCTTTGTTTTCATTTTATCATGTAACAAGCTTCAAAGTTCACACACAACAGTCTTTTTTTCAGGTGCGTAGGATGTCAACAAGGTGCCAGTGAGAAATCAAGTTTCCTAAAATAATGTTAATTTTTAAAATGTTGTAAATCTTACAAATGCTAAGGGATTGCTGTTATAGATATTGGAAAAATTATAATACTTGTGATCCAGAGGGAAAGTGTATGCACAGACTACCAGAGGATAGATTAGAAACATGACCAGACTCAACATAACATCAGCATATTTGTTTTAGAAGCCTTAACTTCATCTCACATACTGTTATAGCGGGTTAAGGAAGAAAGCTTTTGTTCACATGCCATCTTTACCCAACCTGGATCTGCAGAAATCTGGAGATGGGGTAAGTTACAGTGTGAAACATTTCAAACATAAAGTAAATCTAGTTAGAATTTTGCTCATCCGCCCGCTGCTTCGCTCTGTCTGACTGTAGTGTGAGCTGATGGAGCCAACGGGCCAGTCGCCGAGCGCTGAAGATGAAATGAGATCTGCAGCCTGCGGACTGGTGTGCGAGTGGGCCCAAAAGGTCCTGAGCCGGCAGTTTGACAGCGTGGAGGACCTGGCCCGCTTCCTGCTCAATAGCCACTACATTGGTACTAAGTCCATGGCTGCACTCACTGTTATGACTGGAACACCCACAGGTAAACATGTCTCTGATCCATTATTGTGGTCATTTTAGTTACATCTGTGTGTGTGTAATTGTGTAATGACACTCAATATAGTGTGAAACTGTTGCTTATTGTATTCTTAACAGTCCAGACTTGGCCACTGAACAAAATAAAAGCTGGCCTAAAATCAAAACATTGAACTGACCTTGGGTATCAAGTTTAGTGGTTTGCTGACAAATGAGAATGAATGATAAATGGCAATACAGGGACTGCACCTAAGGTTGAAAAGTAACAGCAGTTATTGGAATATTTTTTCCAATACATGGGTTTGGGTTTTCAAATTTAAACCTTTTTATTAATTTGAAATGCTTGGCAATTTTGTTCATAGCTGTGTTTTTGCTGTGGCCCTATGAGTCTAGAACCAATGAAACTGCCTCTACTTGCCACAGCTGGTTTGATTGGCTTTGCTGTCGTCGTATCCTTGCTAATCACAATTTTGCTTCCCTTCCTAGGAATGAAGACACCAACCCCAGCCTCTGCATTTGTGCCCACAGCTGAGGCAAACTCTTTCCAGCCCCAGGTGAAGACCCTGCCCTCTCCCTCTGTTGATGCAAAGCAGCAACTGCAGCGAAAGATCCAGAAGAAGCAGCAGGAGCAGAAGCTTCACTCACCCCTTCCCAGTGAGACCCAGGTCAAGAGAACAGAGGCCAGTACCCCCGGCCCCACGATCCCCTGTGGCAGCCCTGCTCTGCTCTCCCCTCAGCCCACCATAGGCATTGTAGTAGCAGCTGTCCCCAGCCCAGTCACGGTATGTGGCTGAGTTTTTTACTTATGTTCAGATATGTTTTTCATAAATGCACATCAGTGCAATTTAATGTTCTTGTTGTTTGAATCCCAGGTACAGAGAAGCAGGCAGTTGATGACCTCGCCCAGCCCTGTCGGGACAGCAGAGGGAAAAGTGCTGCCTGTGAACTTCCAAGTGGTCACTCAGTCTCTTAAACAGTCCCCCAAAACTCCCCAGAATATCTCAGCTAGTCCTGTGGGTGATCGGCTGGCACGACACGGTACGCGGTACGCTCAAATCCTGCCCAAGCCCTCTGCCACCAGTGCCATCACGCTGCGCTCACCACCCACCCTACTCATCACGAACAGCCCCATAAAAACTGTGATGCCCACTTCTCATGTGGGCTCAGTCAACGTAGTGAAGATGACGGCCATCGCTCTGGCTCCCAGCAGCAACAGCAGCAGCACAGCTGTGCGTCCGGCTTCAGCGGGTGTGAGTACCACAGCTGTTTCAGATGATTCCCAGCAGTCACACAGCGGCAGCTCAGCTACCCCTCAGTCTCCTGCAATTCGACCCAATGCCCCAGCTTCCACCCTGGCCTTCTCAACCGACCCCAAAGTGGTTTCTGAGGGTGACAATAACCCCACCTCTAGCACAGAGAAAACTGCTGGTGGCATCAAAGAGGACAGAGTGCCTAAGCTGAGGGCTGCCAGTGAGCCAAGCTTCCTGGTTAAGTGTTCTCCAGGACCAGATAAAGGGGCAAGAATAAAAAGTGACACTCTATCCCCTCCCACCTCAGTAGCTGTAGCTGGGACTCAGGGCAGCAATAACGGTAACTGCAATGACAGTACTTTGTACTTGACTGTTGATAATCAGGACTCCAATGGCAACACATCATCTAGTGGCTCATCCGTTACCCCAACATCGAAGGATCCCTGCCCAGATGCCAAGAGCCCCAGGAAGCGCGCAGGCCCGGTCGGGGAGTCCCATGTGATTCCTGTAAAGAGAGTGTTTATCTCCCAGCAGCCACTGACTGTAGTTGACAGTCCAAAACCTGGAGTCAGTGTTGCAGTGAAGAAGATCCCCAGACCAGGAACCCCTGCCAGGCCAGAGAGCGCCCCTTGCAAAGTGACTTTGAAACACACATCCACAGGGCCCACGCAGATCCTTGCGCTTTCCGACTCGCCCATCACACACTCCCAGACTGTTGTCAAACCCCAGGCTATGGTGGTGAAACAAGAAGATCATTCTCTCAGCACTGACACCAGCACTGGAGCAGCGGGAAGTGACCCGTCTGATCAGGCATTGCTGCAGCAAATCGCCGTGGACCCTCATGCCATAACCGCCAACTCAGGAGCACATGAAGCCTCTGTGATGAGTGACTTAAAGAGCACAATATGGGAGGAGGGACAGCTTGACGAGCTTCAGAAGCAGGCATTTGCCCAGCAGATACCATCAGAACACAAGCAAGCCCCTACTGACCAACTTTCCATTATAGCTCAACCCCCCGAGACCTCAACCCAGCTTACCCTCACGCAGGACATGGTTGACTTCTCAGGTTCACAGCCCAACATGGACTACTTCCCATTCAATGATGATGACATGACCCAGGACAGCATTGTGGAAGAGCTAGTCCAAATGGAGGAGCAAATGAAGCTGAAGGGTCTGTTTGGGGGTTGTGTTGACGAGTCTCTACAAGGCCAATCAGCCAGCAGTCAAAACTCTCTCCTAAATGTTCACCAGACCGGCACTGCCTTCTACCACTCTGCCCACAGCAGCACCACTCCCGTCCAAACACCCACTCCAACACCAACCCCAACACCTACCCCAACCTCTGAAATGACGCTTGGGCACAGCATGACAAGAGAGAGCCCCTGCTCCCGCATGGCTCCGGTCACTCCTGTTGATGGTGCCATGGGTCGCCACACTCCTATCAGCACCCCACTGTCCAACTGCAGCAGCAGCGTACCCCCGAGCCCAGTGGAGTGCAGGAACCCTTTTGCTTTCACACCCATAAACTCAAGCATGACAGGGTATCATGACGCCAGTATTGTCTCCAGCAGCCCTGTCAAGCCCATGCAGAGGCCCATGGCAACGCACCCTGACAAGGCCAAGCTCGAGTGGATCAACAACCGCTATAACAGCAACTCTGGAGGCCCTTTGTCCAACCATAGCATTGGTATTCTGCCCAGCTACCAAGATCTGGTTGATGACCAGTTTCGTAAGCCGCATGCCTTTGCAATTCCTGGCCAGTCATTTCAAGCCCAGTCAAGACAGGATGTTTCTCACTTTGGCCGACTGACTCCCATTTCCCCAGTGCAGCAGCAACAGCAACAAACGCAGCAGCAGCTAGCAACGGGTGTATCTACTCCCACTAAACAGGAGAGCTTTGCTGTGCCTGCACCATTAGACGGCAAAGCATCGACCTCATCTGCGTCCAGTACTTTCCGCTGCCGCAGCGTTAGCCCTGCGGTGCGCCAGAGGAACTTCAGTGGCAACACCGGCCCTCCGACCACTACCACGGCCACCACCACCACCACCCGAGCTGTGGTTTCACCCTTTAACTCCCCTATCACCTCAGAAGTGCTCAGCATCCTGTCCAACAGCCAGACAGTCAGCTCTGTCCACAACATGGTCCAGCGGAGCCAGTCTGTACCTTTAAACATCATGATGCAGAGTGAGATGCTGCCTGTGCAGGGTCAGAGCAACACCACCAAAATCACCAATGTTCTTCTCAGCAAGATGGAAGCTGATGGGGATGATTCTGTTCGTGGCCTGGGTATTAACAATCTCCCGTCTAACTACACAGCCCGTATGAACCTCACGCAGATCCTGGAGACTACTCCTGGTTTCGCTGGAGGAACTGCTCACCAGACCCAGCTGCCTGTCAGCTCCAGCCCTGCTGCCTTTGAGCTCCAGCAGCATGGCTTTCTCGCCACTAACAGTGGAGAACAGATGAGTTTCTCCACTGGGGACAGCCAAGCACAAGTGGGTCCTAGTGAGCAAGACCAGCAGCAGCAGCTCCAGGAGAATCCTGTTCAGACACAACCACAGCTCCTCCTCCAGAGCACACAGCAACAAGAGGTGGAGGATGAACAACAACAGCTGGATTTCAACAACACTGTCAAGGACCTGTTGGGGAATGATGGTGTCAACCCCAGTTCCCAGTTGGTAGATCAGGTAGCTTCAGAGCTCAATGCCGTGGCGTCTGACTTCTCAAACGACATCAGACTGACGTCAGATCTGTCCAGTAGCATCACTGACTTAAACACATTGGACACCAACCTGCTGTTTGATCCTAATCAACAGCAGGAACAATATGAAGACTCAACACTGGAAGAACTGAAGAATGACCCACTTTTTCAGCAGATATGCAGTGATACTGTGAACTCTGGTTTTGACTGGCTCGAAAGTAAAGACCAGCCTACTACAGTAGAGATGCTGGGCTAATGTTATCTTTTATTCTGTATAATTTCTGTTCTCTGTTGTTTGTTTGGTGTGTGTATGTGTGTGCGCGTGTGTGTGTGTATGTATGTATGTATGTGTAGTACATGTGTTTTAAACTACACTTTGTTGAGAATTGTCTGGACATTTGTTCTGTTAGAAGTGCCAGGCTTACCAGAAAATCTCTCCTCCTGTTTAGTTACTTCTCTCTTTTTTCATTTGTCACCAAGAGGTTCAATTTAGCCACTTTTCTCCCTCATTTGAACTCAGAAATGTAAGCATTTCAAGGAAAAGTGCGAGTACTTGGTGGCAGCACGCACTTAATGTATGAGAGCAGACTTGTATGTTATGAACATTAAGGGAAACATAATCTTCCGTGTTATAACCAGTCAATAATGCAATATTTGTATTTAATGAACCCTTAATGAAAGTGAGATTTGCTCCTCCATTTGGCACAAAAGACTTCACCAAAAACATCTGCTGTTGTATACTATTTACAGTGTGTGCAGTTCAACCAAATGCAGACAATATTGGGATTGTAGTATATGCACATAATAGTTGTAGTACATTTGCCTGCCATATTTGAATATTAAAAAGGGTAGCATCTTCTGCTGCCAGGTGCTGAATTTATGACATAATCTTTATACTTTATCATATACCAAATCAGTGAAGAACTGATTCACATCTGAGCATTGTCCAAGCGTGAAATTTTCTTAAAGCCTATACTTCTTGTACTGTTTAATATCTTATAAAGGGAGTAGATGAATCAGTAGGGAGAAGATGGGAATTCAGGCCACTCTGTGGACTATACATTGAAAGGAATCAACAACTGGCTGCCTTATTCCCAAAAGTCCAAGGCCTTATGCCATCTTTAGAGAGACTGTATATCGTATAATGTTAAGACATGTTCAGAACCATCCAGAGCTTCATCATATCAAGGCAGCTGTTACTCTGGTATTTTCTGTACTATTTCTTATTCCATTTTTGTTTTTGCAGTGTTACAATACAGATGCATATTGTATAGGTTAATGACTACACTGTGTGCCCCTATTAGTGATGGATTTAGAGGAATTTGATATGCTGTCATTTCACAAAAACCATGGCAGGCACACTTTCATTTTAGCGTGAAAAAAAAATCCAAGCTTGGATAAGAATATAAATGGTATGGAGAAGGCTTAGTTACATAGAAGGTTAGAGGCTGACGTATGTCTTTGACGTCATCTTGAGTATCGGAGGAAATGAAGTTATGTTTGTGGAGATCCGGTCTTATTTCCATACCAAAGATGATGTGTTTGAATAACATATGAGATTATTATACAGAGACACTCCTAGTAAACATCAGCAACACTGGGAAAGCGGGCAGACTCAGAAACAAGAGTTTTATTGCATTTGAGGAAAAGGATTCAGTTGCATAAAACCTATGTACAGTATGTAAATTTGAGAAATGGTTGCTGTCCTATGTTTTATAGGTAACCATGGACCTGAAAGCATGTTGGAACATCACTGCTAGCCAGGTAGGCTGTGTGATACAGTAGGATGCTTGTTTGAGTTTTTGGCTGTTGTCAATGTTGTATAAGTCATGTTTAAGCTCCATCTGTAAATAGGATAGATACATAGAGATTTGATGTATCAAGACACTATATTATGGCCATTATTCTAGCCAAGTATGTGCCATTTAAAAGATAAAAAGCTTAACAGATCTGTAGTCGGCAAGATACTGTATGTTGTGTGTTACATTTCTGGCTCAATGTGTTGTAAAAGTAATGCTGTCTGGTCTCACTTGCTGATTTTATTTTATTTTATTTTTTCTATTCAAAGATATTAGGTGTCTGCAGTTGCAGAAGTGATATGTGCTTTGAGCAGGATCAATAGCATGGTATATTGAGAAAAAGTTGTGATAATGCTAGCTGGTTGCAAACATCTCTGCAACAGACATTGTGCTCGAAGCCTTTCAGTAGACACTGGAAAAAAAAAAAACGATTACTCATGTTTCATCAAACTTTGGAGGTTCACATAATTGCACTAAATTTTTATGACACATGGCTTTGACACATCTTTATGGACAAACGTTATGATGGATGCCCGCAAAAAAAAATGAAAAAAAAATTTTTTATGACAAGTTGAGTAAGGAAATTTAACTGAATTGTCAGAAAATGACTAATTGTCTTGTAGCAAAATGTGCATTAATCTCAGTGAGATACACATTTCTTACTCATTCTCATACATGAGAATATAAAGCATTGAGGGGGGAAAAAAGTGAAATAACCTTTTAAAACCTACATGCTCGTTATGTTTATAAATGATTGTACGCACGCATGTGTGACAACTTCTGTTATACTTTGTATTCTTGGTAACCACTGTCTTCTGTGATTTGGGCAGGTTCTGTTAACCAGACTGGCAGTGCTAGTTTCAAGAGTTACGTTACTTTTGTTGTGTGAGGTTTACTAAGTTAATGTTGTTCTATATGTTATGTTGACTGTTTTTTGTCAATTTTACATATTCTTATTTTGCAAAATGCATTTGTGAAGATATGAAACATTTTCTCTTAATTTTTTTTTTTAACAATAAGGCACTGACATTTGAATTTGAATGAAGGAAACGCACCTCTTCATGAGTACAGGAGCTCCATCAAGCAGCGATGTTGTTAAACTTTGACTGACCCAGAACCATCTCTGTTACTATCTTGTCCATTTCTACCAGTAGTAGAAAAAACCCCTTCCTCTGTGGTGTTGTCTGGTGTACTGCTTAATGTACAGTAGCTTGTTAATATTGCAAATGCGTTGTTTTTTTTTTTTCAATGGAAAGTACTCACTGGTGAGATTTTTAAAGTGGTTTTAAAAGCCAATAAACCTTTTTTAAAGAATGTTCTTGTGTGTTGAAGAGGTAATGATTTTGTATTTTGTCGCAGTAAATAAAAAAAGTGCTTCAAAGCATGAGCAAAAGTAAACTCACAGGACTTAGTGGTCATTGTAGTTTAACAGTAGGAACACTATGCATCAATTGTTGAGTTGTTTGATTTGTTAGCTAAATAACTTCTGTATTAGGTGTCATTCAGTAATGTTAAAATATCACCAGATAAGATTTTAGAAAAGGAATCTAGGATCTTTCTTTAATACAGTCATTAAAAGACAAAATGATTTGATTTGATTGTCCCCAACTTGTGATGGTATTGATTTTTCCAAATTTTATGCTAACGGTAATGTGTATTTGCTTTAGATTAAACACCACACACTACTATTTTGTTAGCAATCAAGTCTATGCAAATACAAACCCTTTCTGTCACCCTCTTGGTACAAGGTCAGAGGTCATCAACTCTTCAGGTGACCTCTGAGGTCAGTGGGGGGTGGTCTCTCTTAGAGACGAGCTCCAGCCAATCAGAGCTCAGTTTGTGGGTCCTCTGCTCAGCTTTCCCATGGCCTTGTGATATTCATAACATGCTAATGGCCTTAACCCTAGTGGTTGTGACCAAACAGCCTAACCCTTTAGCCAGACCAGTGGTCAACTCAACCTCCACACCACAACATTTAACAGCATAAGTTGACTGATTTCTCAAAGAATGAAAGATAAAACTATAAACCTGTAGTTAAGTGAGGCAGCAATACATATAACTCTTGTGTTTATTTTAGGCAATAACACGGACAACTCACCATCATTTCCACATCAGTGGAGGCTTTGTGAAAGTGAAGGAAATTGTTTGTGTCCAGAGAAGTAAAATATTTCTCCTCTTTGTCAAACCATGTCAATAACTTGTTTGAACACAGTAACAGTATCCTTCATGTTAGTGAAGTTGTTAATAACCACCCATATACCCCTAATACAGTGCAACATAAGAGTATTTCCTAATAAAGAAAACACATAATAGTAAATTTCTTCTGAATCATTAATAAAATAATCACATTATGGGATACTACTAACCTGACCATTGGTTTTGAGTGATGAATTATACACTACGACTTTAGATTATTAAATCAATACTTAGCTTAGAATAAATTATATATGTGAATAGCTATAAAATATATTTTTCAAAGCACAACACAACATGCTTCTCTGTCTAAATATGATAGCTACATTTATGGTTGGGTGGTGTGCTGGCACAGCATAGCTGACCTCACAGCTGAAGCCCATTGTACTGAATGAGGACAGTCATTGGATCAATATCTGAATTCATTATAGGCAGCTGACTAGGAGCTATCAATATCTCTTCATAATTACTAGGAGCAGATGCTTTTTAGTGTGGCCTTATTACCAGTAGTCCTTGGTGGCTAATAATTCACTATATTCATCTTATTTTGTTATTTTAAATATCTCATAAACAAAAAATAACATCTCATCAAGCAAAGTTGTTACATGGGAGATTAGTAGTTGACTACTAATCACTCTGAATTCCTGGATATAGGGATGTAGGTAGGTAGGTACGATGTAGTCTATAGACCTGGTCAGAGCTGTGTGCATTTCACTTATAATGTGTTAAATACAAACTAGGCAGAAAAGCTGTGAAGAAATAATAACATGGAGAAACAGAATGGTAATATTAGCAAAACAAAGGTAGAGCCTGGAAACCATACAAACAGTTTAAAGAGAGGGTTGAGCTCAAGGCTGCATGAGGGTGCAGTTTTTAAAAGTTGCTGTGTCTGAGCACTTGTACGCTCCCAGGTATTTATACCAAAGAACTAAATGCCAAGATTATTGGACCATGCAGACCCAGTAAGGTTATAATAGTAGACTATTATATGGGAGACCGTCCTCTAATCAGAGCTTTGGTGCTGGTTGCTGCCATTCTGCTCCAGGTGAGCATGTGACAGCAAAGGACCACGATCTGATCTTTACATTACACTGTAGGTGTTCTGACTGAAATTAGTGTGAAATGTTTTGGTTCTGCTTTTTGTGAGAGTTCCTCCGGGGGCCACTTGAGGTCCCCGATCCCCACTCCCACATTTGCTTTGACCTGTGTTATCTGCGCATGCGTGACACGGCAGACTGGGGCCCCTTTAGAGCCGCTGGTCCTCGGCAGCTGGCAGAAGGGAGGCTGGGGAGGTGCGGACAGCAAGCAGGAGAACGGTGTTTGTAGTGGGGAAAAATGACACACCAGTCCGGATAAATGGCGAAATTTAAGAGGAAATTCTACCAGCATGGGCTGCTTTTTGTTTTGTTTCTTCCTTTATCAAGTAAGTGGATTATTTTTGTTACTGATGTTAATGTTATTAACAAGTGTAGCTGATTTACTAAGATGATTTGCAGTGTGCGAAAGGACTGTTCCGTGCCACCTAGTCGTTTTAGGTGCTATTCCTTTCTGAAATAGCCATAGCTTATGTTACTGTTTCCTTAAAAGACAACCTTTTTTGAAGCACATTGATTAAGAGGATAACGAGACAGGTTATTTAGTTAACTCTTAACTTTGTACTTCAGTCCTCAGGTTCTCTGTCAATGTCAGTCGAGTCAACCTACGTCAGTTTGGATGCTCATCATCTTCATGTCTAATTTGTAATAGGCAGTAAATATCAGGACACCATGCCACACATCATTGCTTCTGAAAGAAAATGTTTTCATTTTTTCAGGATAGCACATTACCATCTTAATTCAGCAGCCAATACATGTGTCTAAACCATGTAATGTATATAAAGATTTATATACAGTCTGTGGTCTAAGCCTGTCAGTAACATACAATAGGCTACATCCTTCTGAATGGGCTTAAAAACATTTTTTTTATGTTATATCATATATTGTAGTTTTTCTATCAAATATATGCAGTACAAAATATGTATTGTCTGCCAGGCTATACTGTGCAGCTGTTGTCTTTCATTAGAAACCTAAACAACTCTGTGCTAATGTTCCCAATCTTTTCTTGTAGGTGTTTTATGTTTTAGCGAATTGTCTTTCATCACTGAGCCCAGTGATGTTACCGTATTGCAAAAGGACCCCGTTGTCTTGGACTGTCAGGCTCATGGGGAGCCCCCAGTCACCATCAAGTGGCTGAAGAACGGGCTGCGTTTGGCAGAGAGCAAGCACATACAGTTTCTGCCCAACGGTTCCTTGTACATACCAAAGATAAAACATACCAAGGAGGATTCAGATGAGGGATTCTACCAGTGCCTCTCCCAAAACAAATATGGAGCTATCCTAAGCCAAAGATCACATCTGACTATTGCAAGTAAGTATGGAGCTCTGAGTGAAATTCTCTAGGGCTAACATGGACTTTATTACTGTTTTCCACTATTCAGACCAAAATGAGGATGCGTTATAAACATGTCCATAAAACACTGCAAAAAGGTTAGAAATTAATCTTCTCTCCTTCACATGTGTTGCACTGACGGAGCAGACTGTGGCTCTGTGTAATTGCTGAATGGTCTGCTACACAGAGGAATCTCTGAAAGGCCATTTGCCATTTAGCCTTTGTTTGGAGTGCCCCTGACTGCCCCAAAAGAAAAGGCTAGACTTTCAGGGCATTTGTTTGTCCACATATCAGTGGTCAGGACAGCTGTGCCTATTCACTGGGCTTGGTCTACCACTGACACGTTTCACAGGTCTTAGAAGGGATACTCCGTGATTGATGTCATGGAAACTAGTATGGCCCTCTCAAATATACTGACTTTGACACTGACCCTGACACAGAAAACAGAAAGTTCTGGGCAATATGTCCAATACTCAAAGGTACAAAGCTATGAAGACATAGGAACAGCTATCACCTATTAAGAGTGTTATGAATAAAAATAAAATAAAAACACGAAACCAGTTAATTTGAGTAATTTTAATTAGCTTTAATTTGAATTTAAATGCTTATAATATTTGTTGCAATTGTTGTTAAAATTAGTTTTCTATAAGAGGGCCATGTAAAAACCTACAAAAGTCAAGTTTGGTTTGGCGTCCAGCCTTAGTCTGTGAAAGGGTTAAAGGTTTTCAGTCAGCTGTAGGTAGGGAGTGGAGGATGGGCACTCCTCTGTGGTCCCCTTCTGTCCAGAGGTCCTGGGGGTCAGGGATCAGCAGGGGAAGGCTTTGTGATGTCACAGGCCTGCTCCGGCTGGGCTGCCCTGCTGTTCCTTCTCCTAGCCCACAATTCTTTTCACAGGATCATTCCCTCTGTTGCCCTTTTGTTAAGGAAAGGCCAGTTTGTCGTGTGAATGAACAGGCCTGATACCCCACAGTAAACTCTAGCGGACCTTTCAAAACATGTTTACATCCAGGACATGTTTTCCCTGAACTACATCATCAGTTTCACACCTCTTGGATTTAGTGGTGGCATCTGATATATGTCATGTACTTCTTATTTCAATATTTTGCATAAAATATGCACCTTTATTTTATAATTTATTACTGCTCTAGTGTTTAGTAGAGTGTATATACAGCATTAGAATCACCAAGTACTCTTTCATAGACAAATTGTAAACTCACTTTGATCTGGCCCCAGTTTGGGGGGTTATGGAGAACTATGACCTCTTTTGAGAAACCTTTGTGATGTTTGACCTAGACATTGATTTGATCTTTACAACGAAGGTGTAGGCCACACCTGCCATTTAAAGCAAGAGTGAAGATGGTCTCTGAGAGTAAACAACATTAACTTCTTCCCTGACACTGGGGGTTTTTCATGATGCTCACTAGTCAGTCATGTTGTCTGGAGACAGAACAGAAGAACAATTCAAGACTTGGCACTGGATTTGGTTGTCATGTACTGACCCTAAACTGACCCTAGTTTTGGCTAATCCTCTAATACATTCTACATACACAGGGTTACTAGTTTACTTGTGTAATTTTAATAAACTTTAACTTGGAGCTTCCTAAAATCAGGATTTAAATGTGGTGTTTCACTGGGAGAACAAGGTATTGATTTTCTTTAACGTGATATTGACCTCCTTCCTGTGAGTGAGGGGGAAGGGAGAAAGTTATTACCTTAATTAATGAAGGTCATTGGTCATATCCTATAGTGTGCTTTAGATAAATGCAGATTGGGGGTTGTTTATTTGTGGTGATGACAGAAAGACCTTTTGAATGCACATAACCAGAATATGACTCAGCAAATTGTGCCCAGCTGTTTGGTTACTGCAAGGATATTTATATTTAATCAGTGTGTACGTAGCAGGGTCTAAGTAAACACATTTACATATGCATTGTTGTGAAGCCTACACGAATGTGTCATTCCTGATTTTTGCAAGAAATAGTTTTACTTTTGTATTGCAATATTTTAAAAAATATTTTCTATTCCTCATGAGTGATGGCAGTTCTTATTATACAAAGTGAATTGATTAGTTTTTATCAATATCAGTGCATCATTCAGTGTCATTCTTTAATTGATCCATTGATTGGGCCAGCTGGTTAGTATGGGACCTAAAAGCACATCTGCACAAAAGCAAGATCATGGTGTCTGACAGAGATCAGTCCCCTTCATAGAATCAGTTAACATCCATCAAAGTTAGGCCTTTGCATGCACAATGCATAATGTCTTTTCAAAAGTGACAATCACAAGTAAATCCTAAATAAATATGTGAACATAATTATGTAAAAAGCAGACAAATGATTCACACACAAGCTCCCAGCAATTTTGATCTTTTGTCTGCTTTTCACCTTCAGTTGTTGTTGGAGCAGCCCTCAGATTTCAACTGCTATTACTTCCGGGTTTGATCAAAAATGTAATTATTTTCACAGGTGTCTCAGAGGTTCTGTTGCATCCTGTGCCTATGGTGGTGAGTGAGGGCTCGGTGGCACGATTCTCCTGTGCGGTCACTTCCAGCCCTCCTGCCACCATCACCTGGGAGCTCAACCAAAGCACATTACCACTACAGACAGACAGGTAGTGAGTCGTTTTAGACTCCATCTTACATAAATGTATGTTTTCATGTATTTGTAGTCAGTAAATTCTGTTTTGGTCCAGTTTAACCTAATGTTACCTGTGTGTTTGTAGAATGACGGTTTTGCCCAATGGAGTCCTTCAGATTCAGAATGTACATTTGGAAGATGCTGGACAGTATCGATGTGTGGCAACTAACATCGGCAGCTGTCTGATGAGTAAAGAAGCCATGCTGACAGTCAACCAAGGTACAGGCTACATCTGATTAAACCACTGTACAATAATGTTTAGGCAACTGTTTTTTTCAAAAATTTTCTTTTGTGAAGGTACGGGTCCTAAACCACATCAGAGGCCCAGAATCATTTTTGAACCTCAGAATGTCACAGTTTCTATCCACCAAACTGTGGTGCTGGAGTGTGTGGCCACAGGCACTCCCCGGCCTATCATCTCCTGGAGCCGTGCTGACAGTAAACCCATTGATGTGTACAAAGCCAAAGTACTGGGTAATGGGAACCTGGTTATTACTGATGTCAGTTCCAAGCACAGTGGAATCTACCTCTGCAGGGCCACCACCCCCGGGACCCGCAACTACACTATTGCTGCAGCCAATCTCACAGTTCTAGGTACTGTAGACTTATGTAGTTATATCACATAGGCCCTCAAACCACATCTTCTGCCTGCTTTATATATTATATGATTTAACACAACAAAAGCTTTTGCAGATATGAACTAGTTTTTATATTTTAGAGAACCAGTCAGTGTGTGCTTGTAGAGAACATTTTTGGTGTGAGATGCCACATGGCCAGGGTTTTGTGGGTTAATAAAAGGTCATTTTTCTCTTTACACCTGTGTTTCAGTGCCACCATCCATTGTTGAGAGGCCTGAGAGCCAGACCCGTCCAAGAGCAGGCACTGCTCGGTTTATGTGCCAAGCAGAGGGAGTACCCCCGCCACGCATAAGCTGGCTAAAGAACGGAGAGGAGGTTCACTTAAATGGGAGGATTAAAATGTACAGCAGGTACTGTACAACAGAAGTAGTGATCACAGTCAAAAACACAATGAAAACAACAATGAAATGTATTTATCTTCAGCTTTTGCTGATTTGTAGTTTTTTTCTTGTTTCACAGTAAACTGGTCATTACCCAGATCATGCCTGAGGATGATGCCATCTATCAGTGCAAGGCAGAGAGTGAACAGGGTTCTGTGCTGTCCATGGCTCGTCTTATTGTTGTCATGTCTGAGGACAGGCCCAGTGCACCAAGAAATATCCATGCTGAGACCATCTCAAGCTCTGCTATTTTAATGGCCTGGGAGAGACCTCTCTACAATGCAGACAAAGTCATTGCCTACTCCATCCATTACATGAAGGCTGAAGGTGAGACCAAGAGGAAGAACTAGTTGTGAACTTGGAGGGATAAAGGTGTGAAAAGATGCAAGATGGCACTCAACCACATTAAGCAATCTCACTTTCTCACATGTAAGGAATAACCTTCCTTAGTGAAGACCATCTGCTGCTGGTGCACAGAGTATAGGTCGGGGGGGATGTCAAAATGGCAACTTCACTTAAAAGACAACAGGCTTAGCAAGCCCATTGTCCACTCCCTGGCTTATTCTGCTAGTGGTTAAAGGGACAGTGTAGTTTTTAGAAGCCTTGCAGTCTTGCAGATTGTAATATAGGGAGATATTTAACTTCAAATTAACATCAGCTCTGCCTTTGTAATAAACATACTTTTAGATATTTATTTGGGTTTACTTTAAGAGGCCTGGAAGCCACTATGTAGCCGTGCCTTGCATTATAATGTGTTCATATAAAGGGTGACATTCAGAAACCACAAGCATCAAGGCTTTCAAAACACCAACTGTTTACTTGGTACATGCTTGACAACCTTTCACAGAAGTCCCTTCTTTAGATAATCTTAACCTATTGTCTAACCTACTTTTTGGTCTGTTGCATTTCAGGGCTAAACAACGAAGAATACCAAGTTGTTATTGGGAACGACACAACCAGTTATATCATCGATGACCTTGAACCAGCTCAAAACTACACTTTTTATGTTGTTGCTTATATGCCAATGGGAGCCAGTCGTATGTCAGACCAAGTCAGTCAACATACCCTGGAAGATGGTAAGCACAGAACATTCCATGCAATAAATCACTCTGGTAGTTCAGCTAACATGCATACAAGTGATGTGTGTACAGAGCACACAAGGGGAATGGGCAAGGTGTAGATAGCCAATGTTCTTGTATATTTTACTCACTAACAGAAAATGGTTGCTAGTTTGTATTCTGAAAACATCCATCACCATATTATGAGTCAAATCCATGTCTTTCCTCAGTGCCTCTGCGTACCCCAGAGCTAAGTTTGACCAGCCACAGCTCAACAGATATCCAGGTGAGTTGGCAGCCACTGCCAGCCAAGGTGAGCCGCGGTCAGGTGTCTGCATATAGACTGTCCTATCGTACAGCTACAGACAACACAGTCACCTCTGTGGAGCTGCTTCAGAACAGTACTGAATATCTGCTGGAGGGCCTGCAGCCTGACACCATCTACCTGCTCCGTATGGCTGCAGCCACCCGTGTGGGCTGGTGTGAGCCTTCAGCATGGACCTCTCACCGTACACCTAAAACCTCCAGCAACAAAGGTAAACCTGCAGGAGGCGAAAACAGAAAAACATTTGAGAGCTGGTGATATAAAACTGTATGTGATTCTTTTCTGTGCACTCTTACTTTTGTGTGGTTGTAGAGAACTTTTTAATTTTTCCACTTCTTGCTAAGTTTTCAGGCATATTTACATTTTTCCTTAGGCTCAAAAAGAGGCACCTTCAACAAGCTAATAATAAAACAAGTACACGCAATGGAATAAGAGAATCATGTGGTGGTAAACTGGTAACTGGTTCTCCTTTTGCTTTAGTCACATCAGTGTTTTGCTGCTCAGAATGTTGAACCAGCTTATACCTAGAGTTTGCTCTTGTAGCGTTGTCCCACAGTCTTTGTGTGGGTTACCCAGGAACCTTTGCCCTTCGCTGTCAATGATGTTAGAGTGGCCTCAGTCACGGGTCATAAAGAGAGGGCCTCAGGCGCCTGCTGTGGGGGAAAGAATAACCTCTTTTCATGGCTGGGCATGTTGGGGGAAGCTGTTTGTCCAGCAAGGCTGGATTCCTTGTTTACAAATGTTTGGCTATTTACTTAGATATAGACAGATAGGAGAAAATATTATATGTATTAGATTTGAGGAAAGTGGATAGATTGGTGATTTTTACTGCAAAGTCAGCTGCATATTTAAAGTCATTTTCTTCCAGAAGGCAGCTAAAATTATAACACTCTCACACCAGACATTCTAAATTTGAATGGTCTCTTCTGAAGAACTTGTTTTAATTAGATGATGCTCTACATATCCAAAATTCTCTATACCCCATATCCTGCTTTTTGTTTTGTTTTGTTTTGTTTAGAGGTTTAGTCATTCTTTGTGCTAAGTAATATTCTAATTATAAGTATGTATTGATCCCATGCCTGCTCCCCCCTCAGTGCCTTCAGCCCCCATTCTTCAACTTGAGCCGCTTAACTGCACCTCCATTGTGGCACGCTGGCAAACCTCCCCAGAATCTGTGGCTGTCCAGGGTTACCAGCTGTGTTACCATGAGGAAGGTCAACCAGAGCAGCCAAACATCCAACTGAAAGCTCAGACCTATACCTATATCATCAGTGGCCTTGGTGAGTGATGCACATTTGCTGTTATAGCCATCTAGTTGTGAGATCACAGGATAGTGAAGTGCATGAAAAACCTATGACATTATTTTATCGTATTTCTACCATCTATACCTCTGATTGGGTGTGGAGACCACAGAGAGTGGCTGATGGGTCCTCAGTCAAACCTGTCTCTTTTGCATCGCCCAATTTAATCCAGTGACAAGTTGGTTGCTACATTTGCATTTTCACCCTCTGTCCGGATCAATATGGGCAGCGGCCTTCTCCAGTCTGGCTCTGGTGTTGTATGAGATCAAGCTCCCAGGGTCAGAGGTCAGGGTCCAGATGTCCCACCCACTGCCATCTCCCATCCTGTGACTTGCATAATTACCCCCTGGCCATTGTGCTGCGTCCAGGGCCAGACCTCCCTAGTACAACCCCAGCCACCATCACCCTTTAGCTGGACGCTGGATCACACAAACAAAGACCCCTGGGATTGGCCAGAGCTGGACTGAGCCAGTGACCTCTAGCCGTGAGACAGCAGTGTTGGATTATGGTCCTGCCCCCACTGGTCATCTGTGCTGTCCATGTAAATAACCCACATAAAAACTGTGAACAATATCATTTCGTCTAATGTGAGCCTTCATTCACAGTTTGATATCTACTCAGTTGAAATAGAAATGGGTAGACTGCAGATAATTGTAGATATATAAAACATTAAGAGATAACACAAGCCACTGTCATTGTTTTCATGTGCCAAAATATCACTGAGCTCAATGTAACTTCTGTATTTGAACCATTATTGCTCCAAGTTTAAGGCTATAACACAAGGCCAGTCCGACAGGCCTGAAAGGGGGAACAAAGGGGGCTCAGCTCCTATCCCACCATTCTGTACCCAGCTTCCTTCTGTTCTATTTTAGCCTGACCTGGTGACCCCGGGCAAACTCCCCCAGTCCCATGGGCCTAGGATCCCAGCAGCTGAATGCTGCCCCAGGCCCAGCCCCCACAACAGGCCTGGACACACCAGTCAATACCCACAGGCTGACCTTTCACACTGAAAGCATAAAGCAAATCTTAACACTCCCTAAAAATGTCCTGATTTATGAGCTGAGGGCGCTGTGTGTTTTCAAGTTTAAACACAATATTTGATTTCATATTTTCAAACGAAAGCTTCTGACCCCTAGACCTCATTGATCTTTCTGATGTCCTTTAGCCAGTATAAAACACAGGTTTGTAGGTCAATACTTATTTAAATATACTGAACAAAAGGATAACATTTTACCTCATCCACTTCTGTTGTTCCCCTCAAGGTTACTGCTTAGTATGTAATGTGTTTTAAAGCACAAGCTGGTGCTGATAGAGGTTCATAGCTGTAACATCTTTATAGGCTTTCCAAAAGGAAAAGATAATATCATTTTGTGATCATCTTCACAGAGTTTATTGATCATGTCTTCATATTCACTGGGCTTTGAGGCTGGTTGATCTTTCTCATGCTTCTTACACATGACAACACATAACAAATGACATGTTGGGGTGACTCAGGAGACCATGCATTGTCCGTGTATGGGGGATGGCCAGTCATGACCAACGGTCCCCCCTCCTGTGGCTCTGTGCATTTATTTTAATGTTAATTTGAGCAGCCTTCAGTTTCAATTTTAGTTGAAAATCTTTTTTTTTTTTTGTATTTCAGATCCAAGGAGAAAGTATCATGTCAAGATTCTGGCTGTTGGCCAAGTTGGAGATGGCTATCAGACAGACCAAACAGTTAGTACTCCAGGATGTGTGTGTAAGTACATTTGTCTGTTTATTTATTTCAGGAGTCTTACAATTTAAAATGGAATAGAACCTTTTCTCAAATAGCAACATGTGACAGAAACGTACATTTTGTTTGCATCGCTCAGCGACTCGAGACCAGCTGGCAGCAGCCCTTCCACCTCCAGATCATGTGACCGTCTTAGCCAAAAATTCATCTGCAGTGTCCCTGCAGTGGAGCTGTCCTGCTTTCCCCTCTGGAAAGGCTGTTAGCTATACAGTTCGCTGTACACCTGTGGGCACCCACAACTCCTCTGCCATACGCTATCTACAAACGTAAGCTGAGTTTTACCTATTTCATGACAGATAAAGGCTCCAGATTATCTTTTTGCTTTGGTTTCTCAAGTATTACCATTATGTTATACTGCATGTTTACAAATCGTGTGGAAATGGCTTATTATTAGCTGTTTATAATGATGATATAAGTAATACAGCTTACCCTATATTTGCACATTTTACACAGTAGGCAGCTCTGGATTGTTGCTTTCCATATGCCCATAATGTAAGCATGTTTTTTTGTCCACAGTATCAAGCAGAGTGTCACGGTTCGAAATTTGGTTCCAAACACTCGCTATGAGTTTGTTGTGCGTCTCCATGTGGACCAGATGTCAAGTCCTTGGAGTTCTGTTGTTTACCATTGGACCCTGTCAGCAGGTAAGAAACTGGATAATACTGGGACATCATTTTATCATGACCATGTTGCTTTCTGTGCTTCCCACTATTTCCTCTACTGTGCAGACTCACATTAGATAATTGTGTACTTCTCAGCAAGCGTTATCTATTATGAATGTGACTGCCTTTTGTACAGCACCTAGCCAACCACCTGCAGGAGTACGAGTGACTCTGATAGAGGATGACACTGCTCTGGTTTCCTGGAGGGAGCCCACAGAGCCCAACGTGGTGGTTACACACTATACCATCCTGTATGCTTCCCAGAAAGCTTGGATAGCTGGACGCTGGCAAATCATGCAGAGGGAGGGTGAGTAGTGCACTGGGTTTCCTTATCTGTAAAATCAATGATGCATAACGTATTTTGGGGAAATCTGTGTCTCTTACTAAAGACATACAACAACAGAACATTACATAGGCAAACAGTGGAAATTAAGAAGATATGCCACTCATCTACAGTACCTAAAAATGTTATCACCAACCACACAGGGACATTCTGTCATCACTAGTTATAGGAGGTTGTGTATCACCTGAACTTTGCAGCTTCAGCTCTATCTGTCATAGGGAGCTGTAAAAATGATATATGCTGTATACAGCTATTTGTGCAGCATTAACTACACCAGCATCAGTATTGAACGACTAATCCTTACTGTCTGATTCTGCTGCTGCTACTTAGGAAGTCATACAATGGCCCTTCTGGAGAAGCTGGAGCCAGGGAATGTCTACCTGGTGAAGATATCTGCCTCCAACCAGGTCGGTGACGGGCCTTTCTCTGACACTGTGGAGCTGGCATTGAAGCGTGGAAACACCCACCGCAGCAAGAGCCCCAGGCACTCTGACAGCTTCCTGGACACAACAGGTAAGCATCATGAAGCACTGGAGTGTACATGCTACAGGTGTCTCATTTGATGGGTTTGATCCATTCACTATATCAAGCTGGAACAACAATATGCGGTATTAAGCTTATAGGTATATGAAAGTAAAGCTATACTGTTGTCAATTTTGTTCATTTGAAGATGATGACATCAAATTTCAGTTAATTTGAAGTTGAATGTAAAGTCTAGTATTTTGTTTAGTCTTAGTTATTTGTTTAATAGTTTCATATCTAAGGTAGGAATATGGGGATATTTAGTTTTTTTCTGATGAAGGTTTAGCAAACTTTTAATACACTTCATGTCCTGCACACATTGGTGATCATGAACTGCAAATAACAGTACATGAATTAAAAAGGTGTTTCTTAGGTGAAATCATTATTTTCTGTTAGTCTTCAGGATCATCTTCATTTTTAATTATTTAAACAGAATCTTAGTTTTGATTTCTGTAATTTTATCGTCTTCTTTAAGTGTAGTTATTGTGCAGTAATTTTCTAGCTGAGACACTGTGTTGTTTATCTTCCAGTGTTTTCAGATGGTCTCTACCACATAGACCAGAGGTCAATGGCAGGGATCATTGTTGGTGTGAGCATTGCCTTGGCCTGTATTGTGATGTGTGCCCTGATCCTCATCAGCAAGGGCAGACCAAGGTATGGACTGTAATCGTTTGGAATAATTACAAACAGTACACAAATGTATAAACAGAGTTTTTGACATTTGTTTACTTTTTTTTTTAATCTTTGTATGACTAATAGAAAATCCTCCAGTCACAAAGTCATTGCTGTTGGAGCTGCTGAAGGACCACGTGCTGGTTTTCCTCTGACTAATGATCGCCATACAGAGAATGTTGAAGCCCTTATACCCATGATGAATGATCACTTTTTAGATGCCAAGGTGAGGTAAACAAAAGAATAAATGAGCTGCTGATGACTGTGGGCTTCTCCAGTAGAATTTTAAGCTTCACAGGTATATTTTTAACTGTTTTATGCTGTCTTTCCTATATCTTTTTTCCATTTGTTGTAGGGGCGATCCAGTATTGTTATAAATAGTGCTGGTCCAATCAGCAGCAAGAATCAAAGCAAGAAGTGGCTATTTTTCAAGAAGGAAAAGAGGAATTCATCTAAAAGTGATGTAAGATGTGACGTTATTCTGGTCAGTCAGCTTTCTTTTAAATAATCTTTGATTTTAATCTTAATGTCTATCTCATCTCTTCTGTCTCCTTAGGATGAGAGGAGAGTCGGCTTGTATGAGGCTGGCAAAACTGTTCTGAGGTACGAGGAGCATTTAGGCTCAGCGCCCCTTCCACCTTTGTCCCGTGAGATCATCTATGGACCATTTCACTCCGAGAGCTCTCACACCAGTGATGGCAGCCAAGAAACAGGAGACTCTGGACACTACTCTAACGAAGAAAGCAACGAAGAGAGGAGCGACCCTTCAACTACTCAAAGCTGCAGACCAGAATCTTTCAGGCTGGATGTCTGCACCGTTGTCACAGGGTTGAAACAGTCTTTTGAAGTGGAAAATGAGGAGATACTGAGCCACTCCTTCTGTCGCTCTGCCCCTGATGCTTCCCCACTCTGCTGCACCTCGGAAAGCTTTCATCATGCCCTGCACACGTCCCAGGTAGCCAGCTCCTAACATCATCTGGCCCCTGTTGGCTCTCCAGCAGATGAAGCTATGCCACTTCCACCTTGTTCGCTTCCTGAGTTGAGCGCCTTGGTTATTTCCTGAGGCACGAGGTATCAGGAGAGCAGTCACTGTGATGGTGGAGATGTGCTTTTGCTTCGGATCTACCTCAGGATTTTGTACGAATGTTTGTTATAACATTTTGTTTCAGGTTTTTTTTACAACTTCCTACCTGCTTGTCTGTGTTTGGAACTGTCTGTCCTAAACCAAAGCTCACCCATGATGAATGTTAAAAAGAATGTCATAAATGTACTGTGACACATTTTCAGTGTATTTAATTGCTTTTCACTGCAGCAAAGGGTGAGTAAGCCCCTTTGACTGATTACAGTAGCTACCTCAGTGTTCTGTTCTTGTATATACATTACTACTTCCTTTTCACCACATGCTGTGCAGTATGATCTGGGACTCAGGGGACAAGGTGAAAACATTTCATTGCCCTGTCTTGTTACCTCTGCTGGGATGTTATTATGTAGAGGTCCTCATATTTTGTTTTTTATTCTCTCAACTTTTATTTTTAGGGTTGAGAGAGCTTTTGTTTCACATTGTTTTTAAATGGTGTTTGTTGTGAAAAGAACAAGTACATTAGATATTGCCAAACTACTTGAGCTTTATCACACCATATTGTTTGGCATTGTCTGCACTGAACTCAAAGCTTTAACATGGCCTTAATATTGAAAGGGCTTTGCATACTATAGATAATGAGATCCAAAGAAGAAAAGTTATACACAAAGAGTTTTTGATAATGATAGATATTCTAAAGCAGCCAAAAATATGGTGGATGTTAAGGGTATGTTTGCCAAATTATTGTTCTTACCAATGATATAATTTTTTCTTAGAATGGTGGTTTGAATGCTTTTCTCAGTGTAAATTTTCTTGATGCTTTATTCTGGTGAAAGCTTTAGCTCAAGCCTCCTGAGCTTGTGTTCCATTTGCCTTCTAGACCATTGCTTATTGCAGCGGTGATGCTGATGCTATTATCCAAAGAGTTGTCTGCTTCCTCAGATGGGTATGGCTTTTCATTCAGTTGATCCTTGGTACAGTGAGGTCGAAATTACTGATGCAAGACCAAAGATCCAGTGTGTCCTGCTAGTAATAGATGATGATATATGTTCTTTGCTTAGAGAATCGTCTGTCACCATTCACCAATACTGCTGTATGGGGAAGAATTCACCAAATCTCCCTGTAATGTTTCCTGTCCAGGTGTGACAATGAAGGATCCTGACTATCATAACGCAAACCCTATGTGTGAAGAGCAACATAATCAGTTTTTATATCTTTGTAATACAAATAATCCTAACCAAAGAAATTTGAAGTCTCTGTTATGTAGTGATTTTCTTTGGTTTTCATTTACATTATTTGCATTTAAATGTGATATGATTTCCAATGGTTTTGACTGCTAGGAAGGCATTTTTACATAGTTCATTTTTTTTAATAAGCTTGAGATGTTTAAATTGTCCTGCCGTCTTTTTTCACCATGATAAGTCACCTGAATAATGCTTAGGTTTCACTGGAGATTTTAATATGACATTTTCTAAATTAATAGGGCTGGTTTCAACTTCCAAGTTTGTTGTTGTAATGTATTAATATAAAAGGTTTAAATGCTAACTTTACTCAGACACCAAATTTAGATTTAGACTGTAGACTTAACTGTCATTATTTAAGTTATGGTTTTATGATGCTTCTGTTTTTGAATACCAAAATACATCTTTTAATCCAAAGTAAGCAACAAAACTAAATATTTTAAGTGTTGAAATGTTGCAACAGACTTTTTTATACTCTCAAGATGATCACAAATAATAGATAATAAAATTGTTTTTTGAAAAATACACTTTGTGTTACACTTAGTGTCCTTGAGTTTATAGGTCTATGTGTGTGTTGTGTTTGAGAGCAAATGAATGTTTCCAGAAGTGTTAGAAAAGTTAAAAAGCATAGCCTACCTGATACTGGATTTTTGAGGCTAATACTAATATTGGTATTCAGAAGCTCCAAAAATCCAGTAAGAATATATTGTTGTGAATATAGTTACATAAATGCATAACATAAACAAACAATCTTGATAGAGATTTTCATTTTTTTAAACAACTGTGACAAAGATACACATTGAGTACAACATATAATAATTGAAAGATCAACTTATTAGAGCTCTGTTGGGCAAACTTTAATGGTGACACTGCTGCAATTTATTGCTACTTTTTGGTAAACGTACACCGATATATCTGCAATATCATAATGCTGGCTAATAGAATGGCCTTGCTGATTTATCAGTCTAACTTTAATAAAATCACACATAACCAGGGAGAGTAGAACATTGCAAAAAATTATAAAAAAAATGAAATATATGAAAGTATAGATACATTTTTGAAATAAATCATGAAAATGAAAGTAATAGAAAATAGTATTTTAGCATTTTTACTTTCAGAGTAAAATGCCCATGTGATTGCTTGAAAGATGATGTGGAAGAAAGTGGTGACAGTCATAAAAAATATATTACATTAGTAAAACTACTGAATGCTCTGTAACGGAATCATTTTGAAGTTGTACCTCTGACAGGTATAACAGTAGGTCCAGCAGGTGGCAGTAAGTCACAAACAGGTGCTTCAGCTGCGACTCCAAGAAGAAGAAGAGAAAGACGACGAAGAAGAAGAAACGATACGCATTCTTGTTTTTGTCAGTTGTCGCACGCAGGACAACTGCAGTGAAAATGCGCATCGAAAAGTGCTATTTCTGTTCGGGACCAGTGTATCCCGGACATGGGGTGATGTTTGTACGGAATGACTGTAAGGTAATACTGTCTTTCTGTCTGAATAATCCTGGAACTTTAACGGAAATAAATGTTTGTCAGAGCTGGCCCGTTAGCTAGCTGGTCGATGCTAGCTTGCTAGCATACCTTGCTGGATTTACTCACGTGGGATCAAGGCGAGGTTTTTCACTCGCTCCCACACACTAAATAACTCAGTGGGAACACAATTTTTTTCAACGTCAAGTTTAAGCGTAACGCTTCAGATTCTTAATGTTTGAGCTGTTTAGATACATGCTGCCTTCTTACCAGAGTTAAGAATAAAATAGAATCCGAGCTCAGACATTTATCTAGCAGGGCCTGCGTTTTAGCTAATGAAGTATTTGCGCCCTCTGGAGGAACATTGTTAAAGGAGGAGCGTGGAACAAACGCCTCTGCAGTCTTAACCTAGATCTGAAAAATACAGCCTTTGTAAAGCTTAGATTTGACTGTGTCGGCGACATTTTAAAAACATTGTGTAATATTATGTGCACGTCCTTAGTATTACGCATTAGGGTATTAACGTCTCACCAAACTCTAGAGCAAAATAACAAAGTACGATCACTCAAGTTCTGAGGTACTTGTACTGTACTTCGGTTTTTTTCAACTTTATACGTCTACTGGTTGTCCAAGAGAAATATTGTAATTTGCTAACTTAGTTAATTTGTGTAAATTTTGACTGATACACAATACAATCCCCTAGTACATTGACGTGTCATTGTAGATTAACCTACTAGTAAATGTTGATTGCTAATACTTTTTCATTTTTACTTTGGTACACTTTTGTTTACATAACCTTTACTTGTAATTGGGTATTTCTATACTGTCATATTACTACTTTTACTTTAGAAGGTCTGAGTACTTTCACCACTGCTGACAGTCACAACAAAGGTACAACATAAGCTTCACATATCGCATTCAAGGGCAAATAATTTTATGTGTGTATTTTTAAGAATTGTATGTGGGGTAAATACATGTACCTGTTCTCTCTGTTAGACATGTAATTTCTACGTCACACTTCTTTACTGCATTTTCTTGTTACTTATCAGATAACATCAATGTAAATACTGGTCTTTCTGTGATAAGCTTATCAACTGATATAAAAGCTGATATTAATAAATATGTAGGCAGTAATCTAAATATAATGTCAAATCTTTAATATTGTAATTTCACAATCCCAAACTGCCTGTTTATATCTATTCACAGTCATGTGATTGATTTCTTTATGCATTTAAAATGGAATTCTTTTTTTCTTGTCTTTCTTTTGAAATAAATGTAGACATTCAGATTCTGCAGATCAAAATGCCACAAGAACTTCAAGAAGAAGCGTAACCCAAGAAAAACAAGATGGACGAAAGCATTCAGAAAGGCATCAGGAAAGGAGTTGACAGTGGTAAGCTGCTTATCTGTAGAGCATTATCTCAGCATCATCAGTGTATTACTGGTACTTACCTAACAAACATGCTGTTTTTCAGGATAACTCTTTGGAGTTTGAGAAACGCAGAAACATTCCTGTTAAATATAACAGGGAGCTGTGGGACAAGACAGGTATTTTATACATTTAATTGTAAGAAGTGCTTCCTGTAGAAACACTGCCATTTGATTTTTGAACAGAGTATTTAAGTTTCACTTTTATCTTCTACAGTGGAAGCAATGCAGAGAGTGGAGGAAATAAAACAGAAGCGACAAGCAAGATTTATAATGAACAGGTGAGCCATTTTTATTTTTTGCGTTAATGCTTAAGCATAAGTTTTCTTTTGAGTTCATGTTTTTTACATTGTCTTATGCGACTGTCTTATGTTTTACAAAAAAAAACACATGGTATTTGCAGAATTATGTAAACGGTGTCTCACCTTTACTGCTTTTGTCTCCACCATATAGGTTAAAGAAGGGCAAACAGTTGGAGAAGGAGGAGGCCATCAGCGAAGTGAAGAAAAATATTCACCTTATCAAAGCGCCACATGCAGGTAAAGAGTTGTCAGAACCACCAATTGGCAAATCTTTACCTACTTTAGAATGTGCACTTTGCGTAGTACTTGTTTAGAATAAAGAAGATAATGCAATTTCATACACTGCAAAAACTATACCTCATGTCCACAGCTCTCCTTCCTCTTAATAGGTTTTTGCAATTTAGTGATGATGGATATTATAGGTTATTGAAAAATTAAAATGGTCCATAATAAATGTGATTTTGACTTTATTTCAATTTTTTTTCTTCATAGGAAAAGCCAAACAAATGGAAGACAAAATGGTGCAAAAGTTACAAGAGGATGTCGACATGGGGGATGAGAATAATTAATTGCGTGCTCAAGTGGTTCTTTTGTGTCATGAAACTGAAAAGCAAGTTATATTGTTCTTTTGTTTTGGAATTAAAATTCCAATGATGGACTCAGAAATGCATTTAGTGTTAAATTGTTGTAAAGGACAAAGCATTGAACTGAAAAAGATCTGCCACCAAAGCAGCAGCAAGTTATATAGTTGGGCCTACTAATAATTTTGCTCTCCTGTTGCATAGTACAATATTTTATAGTAATGCAGAAAATGTTAAACGGTAACTGGCAAAAATAAAAAAAGATGTTTTTTTCCTTTGTCTTATGTTTTATCACATTAACTACACTATAGCATAGCTAAGTTAAAAACTGATTTGGTTCCAAAGTAGATTGCAAGTTGAATATTTATTAAAAGTACAGTATGACAATAAGATATTTTACTTCTGTGTTACATGTAGAGCAGCAGCTACAATGCACACACAATATATATTGCATAATGCAGGCACATCAGTGAATAGAATATGTAATGTGCACTACAAGTGTGCAGCCGTGGCCAAATGTTTTGAGAATGACATTAATTTTCACAGTCTGCTGCCTCAATTTTTATTATGGCAATTTGCATATACTACAGAATGTTATGAAGAGTGATCAGATGGATTACAATTAATTGCAAAGTCCCTCTGCCTTGAAAATTAATCCCAAAAAAACCCATTTCCACTGCATTCCAGCCCTGCCACAAAAAGACCAGCTGACATCATGTCAGTGATTCTCTTGTTAATACAGGTGAGAGTGTTGATGAGGACAAGGCTGGTTATCACTTTGTCATGGTGGTGCCCCAATCCTGGTGCTTGCTGGACTTTCTTGGGCCTTCTTTACAACAATTGAACCTCTCCTTGAAGTTCTTGATGATCTGATAAATGGTTGATTTAGGCACAATCGTTCTAGCAGCAGTATCCTTGCCTGTGAATCCCTTTTTCTGCAAAGCAATGATGACTGCACGTGTTTCCTTGCAGGTAACTATGGTTAACAGAGGAAGCACCACCCTCATTTTAAAGCTTCAAGTCTGCTATTCTAACTCAGTCAACAGAATGACACAATTGATATTTGTCATTCCCAAAACTTTTGGCCACAGCTGTAGTGTGTCCTATGCTATCTAAAAACCAGTTGGTTTACATTAATGATTTTCACATCTGTCATTCATTCACCCATGAGTATTAAGTGTCAGACATCAGTTGTCTCATATTTAAAATTCAATTAAAAGCCACGTTACTTTCAATTCAATCGAGGTACAGATAGAACCAAAGTAAAAGTTACAAAAATGTATTTTTAAGTAGGGGCACAAGGTCTGTTGTCCTTTTTTCCACATTTTTATTCAGAAATATTAAGATGTTTTATTGTGAAAGGTTGGTCTATGGCTTTTTTACTTATGACACAACACAGTATACTACAGAAAAGAAAAGCATACTTTTTATTTTTAAGGCCCAGTAAAATGTTTTATTAAATTCCTTAGGAATTTAATAACTTAAATTATAATTGAGTTTTGCTGAGTATAAGGAAACCTATGCAAATTTGTACAGATTGTTCAAGGTTTGGTAAAACAGAATAAAGGTTGGTCGCTTGACTTCGTGATAATGGTCCCGATCTCTAGCCACCTGCTTCTCTGGGATCGATTCACTGGCCTGTTGATGGACAGGCTGCTGCTTTCGCTCGCCTAGTCGCTTCCAGTGGTACCTTTCATTTGCAAGAGCTGGTTGGACGGCAATAGTCATACTTTTTACGAGTCGTGCAGTGATTTAATATAGCCATGTCTGAAGAAGCTGAAGGAACAATGACTTCAGAAGAACAGCAAGTAAGTTAAAACGATGAAGTAGTTTTAAGTAGTTAGCCAGCGCTGCTTGTACGTCGAATCTTGTAAATTAACGATAGCAGGCGGCTTGCAACAGGCTAAGGTTGGTAGCCCGTAGGTAATCTTTGGCTAAATCGTTTACCGTTAAGTAATTAGCTGCTCAAGTTCGTCGGTAATACAGAACAGACACCTTGTTATTCTGGGGCCAGCGAGTAGGTTGCCATAATTAGCGGTACTCGTAAACGTATTGATAATTGGTATCTCAGCTAACATTTGCTAAACATGCTAAGTTTAATGGTAAGATCAATTGTAGTGTAAACGCCGCTTGGAGTTCACCTCATGGCGGCGCCCGCACATCGCGGAAGATAATTAGTGGCCATACTAGCTGTTACTGCTGCATTTGTCAGACTATACATTGCACTCGTAATAATCACAAATGCCAAATGCACTCTCAAAGAAACTTCACCGTTTTTTACCCATCAAATAACCTGAGGGGATGATTTGCCACCCATACATTCCGTGCTCTTTCAAAAGGAAATGGAGGACAAAGTAATCAGTCCAGAGAAAGCAGAGGAGGCCAGACTGAAGGCCAGGTATCCTAACCTTGGAGGCTCCGACTTTCTCAGGAAACGACTGCAGAAGGGGGTGAGTTTTAGACCAGAACCTGGTTAGATACACGTTTAAATCATGTCAGCCTAGCAATATTCTCACTTAATGTTTTCTATCTTGTCTAGCAAAAGTATTTTGACTCTGGTGACTACAACATGGCCAAGGCAAAAATGAAGAATAAACAGTTGCCATCAGCCCCAACAGAGAAGACTGAAATCACAGGGGGACACATCCCAACACCTCAGGACCTGCCTCAAAGAAAGACTTCAATTGTGGCCAGCAAACTAGCTGGTTGATAGTTTTGAATTTACTGTTTTGTTAACCATTCTAACCCCCACTTCACATTTACCTGTTCACAGTTTATTTTTCAATTTTGTATGTGTTCTTTGAAAATAAGTTATATAGCAAGCAAAATACTTGAAAGAATGAGGAACTGTCAGACAAGTGTCACTGAGTTCAGTCTAGGCCAAGTAGTAGCTGAAAATGTTTCTCAAATCATAATTACTCAGTAGTGATAGATTTTTGAATATGATTTCACTCCTATAATATGAATGAATGTTACTGCAGTTTTTTTTTTTTGACAGAACATTTTCACTTTTAAAGATGTATACCTCCACACAGTAGCTGATGAGCCTGTTCAGAGGCTGTTTTAATCACCCTGTTACTCAAAGTCAAAAATACCTATGGTGAGTTATGACCACAGACAGACGATATTAGCAGTTTGCACTGATGTATGTGTGAAGTAAAAGTCTAATTTGCAGTTACGCATTTCAGTTTTGAACATATGTTCATATGGAGGCATGTCTGTTTAAATAGTGAAAAGTGAAGTAATCCTGCTTGTTTCCCATCATCACTAATTGATTGTGTTCCTTCCCTTTTTGTGAAGCTATTTAACTCGATGCTTTCAAAGTACTGAAGATTAGGTCATACACACTTTGTAGCCAGTTGTATTTTAATTCATTTTAGTGACATTGGTTTGCTTATACTTGCTGACGGTCTCCATTTCATCCCAAACTCTAAAATGGCCTTGAAGATAATGAGAGTGGCATGATGGAAGCTATGGTTAGTGCTGTTGCCTCACAGCAAGAAAGTTACAGGTTCAAGCCCCTTTCTGTGTGGAGTTTTCATGTTCTCCTTGCATGGGTTGTCTCTGGGTACTCCAGCTTCTGCTCACGTCTTAAGACATGCAGCATAAGTTGATTGGCAATTCTAAATTGCCCGTAGGAGTGTTTATGTGTGGTCGTCTGTCAGCCCTGCAATAGACTCATGACCTGTCCAGGGAGTACCCTGCCTTGTGCCCAATGTCAACTGGGATTTGCTCCAGCAACAACCTCCCCCCCCCCCCCCCGTATATATATAGTGGATGGATGTTCCTTTTGAGCAATATTTGCTCCCTCAGTAAGAAACTTATTTGTGAATCTTGCCTGAAATGTCTTGATTCCAGTCAGAATTAGGAAGAAACTCCCTTGTGGACTTTGGAGTGTGCATGTGCAAGTACTGTGCAGTCACACTGTGCCATTTGTTCTGTAAATAAAATAGTTTTGCATAATATTTTTTAAGCATGCTTATTCAATGGAATGTGTCCTTTTAAATGTATTGATTTTGTTTACATTGTACTATAGTAGATCCTGAAGTAGTGCTAACATGGGAAAAATTAACTTCACTGTAATTCACATTCAATGATAAATTTAGCTTGACATGCTGTATTCTGCAGTAAAGTTGAATGACAGGTCAACCATGGTTCATCTTGTGGCCCTGGTCTTGTTGGTGGACTCTGTCTCAGACGTTCCTTGTTTAATTTATATTGAGCCTTTTTGTTATAAAGTTTATTAATAGATCTAACAATTGGCTTTTTTAATAAATTGATTTTTCACAATATAAAGGGTCAGAAAATGAATGTGTACAATACCCATCATTATTCCTTGAAGCCCAAGTTAACATTCAATTTGCTTTCTTTTGTCTAACAAGTTATGGTTAAATATACAAAACTAGTAAACCAGCAAATTTTGAGAGCTGATTGCACTGATGATAAGGAAAGTATGGTTAACTATAATGAGAATACAAGCAAATGTAGGCCAACCCTTTTCATTCTGGGGAAAATGGGCCTTCACACATTATGACCAGAGTAATAAAATAATTAGGCTTTGATGAGCAGTGTGGTGGCGTGATTTTCCATTGTATTCTGGCGATAATGTTGACGCCTCAGTGACCCTTCCTCGGGTGGGTTTTATTGTACACGAGCCGTTGGCGGCCGCTGGGAGGCAGGCAAGACGCGCGAGAACAAAGCGTGTCGGGTCGGGGCACGCGCAGTTGAGTGACAACACTTAAATCCTCCTACCGGCTGAATACATCACGTTTAGGATAGGAGCCCAGAAAAGTTCAAGTTTTCCATCCTTCGGAGTCAGTAAGATGTTTCACCCTTTTCTCAGTCAGCAGAGGACGTTTCTGGGTGCTCACTGAGTATTCCAAGACATGGCAGCCTCTGAACTTTACTCCAAGGTAGGCATATTTAATTAGTTTGTCGGTGCATCTCGTTCAGCGGTTTGTTCCATCTAACCTTGGTTAACTTTTCCTTAGGCCTAATTATATCCGTCAGGAATGGTAGGCTTTCTCGTGCCAGTCACAAGTGTGTAATGATCATCTTTTGAATTAAAATACATTTGTTTATTGCTTTGTTTTCTCTGTCGGCCATCTGAAACACCCCATATTCATCCATATTACACGCATTCTGTCTGCGGACTTCCCAGCCAACGCCAGGGACTATATGTCACAGTTGTTTTGTATAATACTTTTCTGCTTTAAGTGCAGTGACTGAATGCCTCAGGCCCGTTTCCCTCTGTCCATCAGTATGGCCGTGTTTGGCTTCCTGATGCAGTCGAAGTGTGGAAGTCAGCAGAGCTGATCAAGGATTATACTTCTGGCGACAAGACGCTGTCTCTGCAGCTAGAGGATGGCACGGTGAGGCACACACACGGAGAAATGGGCACTGAGGTTGAAATGTGTGTTAGATGTTCTGTCATTGAGCCATGAACGTTTCTCTGCAAGAACTCTGGCAATGGGATTTTATAAATCTCTTTGTGCTGTGGGAGACAACTGTGATGTTTGGTAAATGTGCACTCCCAAAGAAACCAAACACTGCATGCCTGTGCTTGAAACTCAGCAAAATGCTTTATACCAGATGGCTTCAAAATAGATGGATTGATAGATGAAAATATCTGAACAGTGTAGCTGAATATTTTACACAGTGTTGTTGCTGCCTGCAGCTGTGATCTCAAGTTTGGGCATGCACTTCAGGTATGGAAATAAGCAAGGCCAAAGTATTATCATGAACATGAAAATGAGTGAACATGAAAAAGCCAAGCACAGTTGCCAGATAACTTTAATATGCTAATGTTTTTTGTGTTTAACCAACTGTTTTTACTTGGATTTTGTCTTGTTCCACTCGTCCTGACAGTTTTTGTAGTTTTTATAAAATGAAAACAACCTACTATCTTAGCACTCGCGCTGTAGGTACTCAAAACTTTGTGTGTCCCACTAGGTGGTGGAATACAAAATAGACCCCCATTCCAACAACCTGCCACCACTAAGAAACCCCAACATCCTGGTGGGGGAAAATGACTTGACAGCTCTCAGCTACCTCCATGAACCAGCAGTCCTGCACAACCTTAAAGTGCGCTTTGTCGACTCCAAGTTGATTTACACATACTGTGGTAATGAGCTTCATCTCCTTTGACTCGCACTATCACTGTCACTGTAGACTTTGGAGTCCTACTCATTGTGCACTTTGACATCATCTATGGTACATTATGCTGATTATAGTGGTACAGGCTGCTCTTAAAGGAATACACACCAAACTGTGTTATATACATTTGGCATCAGTGGTGCACGCAAAACAACTGCTTTCAGAATTCACTATCCATTAATTTGAAATTATGTCAGATAACATGTTTACATGTCTTAACTGAGAATTTTTCTCCTTGTGGTATTTAGGAATTGTCTTGGTTGCCATCAATCCTTATGAGAACCTGCCTATCTATGAAGCTGACATCATCAGTGCTTACAGTGGGCAAAACATGGGGGACATGGACCCCCATATATTTGCAGTAGCAGAGGAAGCATACAAACAGATGGCCAGGTTTTGACATGACATATTTAAAATCTTAAAGCAAGTAGAGTGTTCCCCTTTTTTACACAGTGTGTTGTTATATTTTCATGCAGAGATGAAAGAAACCAGTCCATCATAGTGAGTGGTGAGTCTGGGGCTGGCAAAACTGTTTCTGCTAAGTATGCTATGCGTTACTTTGCCACGGTCAGCTGCTCTTCTGGTGAGGCCAATGTTGAGGAGAGAGTGCTTGCCTCCAGCCCCATCATGGAGGTAACATTTAATGTTGCAGAAAAATTCATCATTATTATGAAATATAAAATAACCGAGGTTCCTTATACTTCTATATATGTTTAATTTAGGCCCTTGGGAATGCCAAGACGATAAGGAATGACAACAGCAGTCGCTTTGGGAAGTACATTGAGATTGGATTTGACAAGAAGCATTGCATAATTGGGGCTAACATGAGAACATACTTACTGGAAAAGTCTAGAGTTGTGTTTCAGGTAAATTTAATAGGTATGGATTTAACTTGCATGTCTTTAGGTGACACCCTCAGTGTCTGAATATATCCCTTCCTACCTTTCTCTCTTCTGTGTTTTTAGTTAACTGATTTAAAACATGCTCATGTGCATGTAACATGTTATGCGTTTATCTTACCAACATTATGAGCCAACAGTTTAGCCTAACTAGCCATTGATTCACAGAGATGGCAACATATTGAGTTTTGTTAAGCAACTGTCAGCCATTTAAGACTAAGTTTGATGATTACAGTTTTATCCTTAGTTTAGCAATCTGCTTTCAGTTCATTAATGCATCTACAGTTGAAAGAGCTATCACTTTTATTGAATATGATTGCAGTACTTATGTAATTCGCCTGCTTCGAATATTCTACATTTGTTTGGAATACTTTTAGGCCTACGGAGAAAGGAACTACCATATATTCTACCAGCTCTGTGCCTCTTCTCATTTACCAGAGTTCAAAGCCTTCAGGTTAGGTAGGTGAGTCTCTAAAATATCAGTTTTCCTTTCAGCATGATTTAGAAAGGATTTAAAAAAAACGGTTGCTATTGTAACAGGTAGTCTATATCAGTACAGTGTCTTATATGATTAATGTTTGAAGGTTGCGCAGATGACTTCCACTGTACTAACCAGGGTCAGAGCCCAGTAATAGATAGAGTTGATGATGCCAAAGAGATGCGCAATACCAGAAGAGCCTTCTCATTGTTAGGTGAGTGTTAGTTCATTATTAAGGTTTGCATGTACAGTACATAGACAACACTATACATGAACATTTTGTGTTTCTAGATTGCTCTATGTGATTGACCACCATTCATAGCTATAATTTTTTCCACTGTAGGAATTGGTGAAAGTGATCAAATGGAAATTTACCAGATTCTGGCAGCTATTCTCCATCTTAGCAATGTGGAGGTGAAAGATCAGTCAGCAGACAAAAGCAGCATCTCGGTAAATACTGAGTCTCCCTGGACACAACAAGCGAGCTCATTCTTTTTCAATGGTGTTTGGTTAATTTTGTGCCTCTGTGTTGTATGGAGGATGTGTAGATCTTTACCTGTCTAAGATCATTATTGTCAGTGTATTTCCAGCCAGATAATGTCCACCTGATGGTGTTTTGTGAGTTGATGGGGGTGCCCTCTGAAGAAATGGCACATTGGTTATGTCACAGGAAGCTCAAGACGACCACAGAAACCTTTGTCAAAACTGTCTCCAAAATGAATGCGGTCAATGGCCGAGATGCCCTAGCTAAACACATCTATGCCAGACTCTTCAGCTGGATTGTGGGCAGCATTAACAATGCCTTAAAATCTGCGACAAAACAGCACTCGTTCATCGGTGTGCTGGACATTTATGGGTATGTTTTCATCTTCAGATTTTGGGGTTGCGGGGGGTTATATTCCACAGAAAGCCAGACATGTTGGTTACATTTATAAATGGATCTTTTTTTTTTTTCTCCAGATTTGAAACATTTGATATCAACAGCTTTGAACAGTTTTGCATCAACTATGCCAATGAGAAGCTTCAACAGCAGTTCAACCTGGTATGTGCCTTTTGCTCCCTGACATGCTAATTGTCTTAAAAAAGAAGAAAAAAAGTTCCAAAACAAATTTTTAGTTTTCCCTCCCTTCAGCATGTCTTCAAATTGGAACAAGAGGAGTACATGAAAGAGGAGATCCCTTGGCGATTGATAGACTTCTATGACAACCAGCCATGCATTAATCTTATTGAGGCCAAGATGGGTGTCCTGGACCTTCTAGATGAGGAATGCAAGGTAAAAGACCAGTTTTTTTCCCCCCACACTAAGTCTGTTCAGCTACTTTCCACTGGAAGAGTTTGCACAATGCTATGCTTAGAGGTTATGAGTAAGGCCATGACTAACTGATGTGTCAGCATTTCCTCTTTCCATAGATGCCTAAAGGCTCCGATGACACATGGGCCCAGAAATTGTACAACACCTTCCTGAAGCAGAATGTTCACTTTGATAAACCCAGGTTATCAAATAGAGCTTTCATCATCCACCACTTTGCAGACAAGGTACTTAAATAACCCCTGAAGCACAGTTGTATCTCTGTAGTTAGTGTGCCTCACAAAAGGTCTTAAATTCAACACAGAAGGGCTGGAATCTTTCTCTTCAGAGTTTCCATATTCTGTGTGTATCTGCATGGGATTCTCCTGGTGTTCTTGTTTCTTTCCAAAGTCCAAATATGTGCATGTTTGGTAAATTTGGAAATCTAGGTCGCTGGTAGGTGCAAATGCACCCACCCTTTGATAGAGTAGCAGCAGCAGCCCACCTTCTGAACCGAACAAACGTGGAAACGCAGACGGACAAATGACTCATGTCTCAACAAGAGCACCAAGAGATTTATGTCAAAACTGTAATTAGACTGTCTGCAAAGTCAGAGTTCTATGTCTTAATCACAAATGTTATTCTATTTAGTTAGAGCAGGACTATCTAGTCTTCTTCAGAGTCTCGATGATGAATATGATCTTTGCTCTTTTAGTCGAAAAACACTGTCTAACCAGGCCCTTTGTGTCTAGGTGGAGTACCAGTGTGACGGTTTCCTGGAGAAAAACAGGGACACAGTCAATGAGGAGCAGATAAATGTGCTGAAAAAGAGCAAGGTTGAACTAATTTATCAGCTTTTTACAATATTTTCACTTATTAGTTTTCCTCAATTAGTCAGTCTTTGTGGTGGTCATAGTAAGAAATATAGTCGGTTTATTTTAATGTTAGCACCCCTTCAACTGCCAAGAGCAAATAACTGTTGAGTATTTTTTCTGTAAATCTCAGGGCACACACCCTAGCATTGTTCAGTTCTAACTATTGGAGGAAATACAGCCACTAGATTGAAAATACTGCCATCTGCTGTTCAATGACAACTTTGTATTCTGCAGTTCTGATGTCTGAAAAATAATCTCCTTAGTTTGATTTGCTGCTGAAGCTGTTTGAAGATGATGAGAAGGCAACAATTTCTACTAACAAGCTCACTAGCATCATTGGAAGGTCTAGTCAGACTCAGAGGGACAATAAGAAGACTGTTGGGCTGCAGGTGAGAGCATTACAGGGAGGCAGCATGATGTGGTGGTGCTTAATAGTGTGTCATATAGTTATAATTTCCATCCTTATGAAAAATTGGGGAAAGATGCACAATTAAAGTTTTGTGCACAAAATATGGAAGGTTATATTTGTTTTCCTCAGCTGGTCAGTGTCAGGTTTAGCTGCCCTTTGAGGGATTTAATAACTGCCAAAAAATGTATAATCTAATTATGCTGAATGACTGTCAGTCAAAATATTTTATTGAACATTTAAAGTTAACGCTCAAGCATATCTGTATAATTTATGTATTTCCATACTTAGAAAGGATTTGTTGTTATCTGTTTGCTCAGTTTCGGCAGTCTCTGCATTTGCTGATGGACACACTAAATGCTACGACTCCTCACTACGTACGCTGCATCAAGCCAAATGACCATAAAGCTCCATTCACGTGAGGAGGATATCACTTTTCTTATTTCCTGCAACAAGCACAGACAAAAGAAGTATAAACTATTTTGTAACAGGTGTCTGTATATTTTCAAAAAGGCTGGACCCTGTGAGGGCAGTGCAGCAACTTCGTGCCTGTGGCATTCTTGAAACAATCCGGATCTCCGCAGCAGGCTTCCCATCCAGGTTAGCATGTCAACAACAACAGCTAAAATAGTTGCACAATTATGTTCTACAAATTATGTCAACTTGTGTTATTTGTATTAATACTGCAGATGGACATATCAGGAGTTCTTTAGTCGGTATCGGGTCCTCATGAAGCAAAAGGATGTGCTTTCTGATAAAAAACAGACTTGCAGAAATGTCCTAGAAAAACTTATAAAGGTATATATGAGTTGTACAAAAGCATTTGTCAGTAACAAAATGGATGTAACTTTTACAGACCCATTAAAATACGATGCATTACAAGTGCGGTTGTGTTTTGTTTTGTTTTGTTTTTTCCCTAGGAGCAGGATAAGTATCAGTTTGGTAAAAACAAGATCTTCTTCAGGGCTGGTCAGGTCGCTTACTTGGAGAAGCTGCGTTCCGACAAGTTGCGTACAGCTTGTGTCCGCATTCAGAAGACTATCCGCTGCTGGCTGGCCCGCAAAAAGTACCTCAGGATCAGGGAAGCTGCCATCACCATTCAGAGACATGTGCGAGGTCACCAGGCACGCTGGTAAGTGAATGTTTAATATAAGCACAATAAGAGATTTAAAGGCAATAGAAGTATCTCTAGCATGTTCCTTACTTTACATGTTTTATTTTTTCTGTCAGTCATGTTAAGTTCCTGCGAAGAACTAGAGCAGCTGTTGTCATTCAGCGGAATGTGCGTATGTGGCTCAGCAAGAGACGCTACCAGCAGCAGCGCTCTGCAGCTATCACCATCCAGTGCTGCTTCAGGGCTTACATGGCTAGAAAGAAGTACTATAAGGTAATAGCATAATAAAATTTGGAATTTGAATTTAACATCATTTACACTTGTATATCAGAATTCTTCTAATGTATACAGATGATTATACTGTGATTGCATCACCAGACAACACCTTAGGCCTGTGTTTACGTCCTGTCAGCTGATTTCATTCACATGCACAGCAACAAGAAATAAACTGAGACACATTTATATTTGAATCTGTGAATGGTCTGGCAACAAATATTTATTACTGAGACACACGTTGTTAGTGCAGTTTGTTTTACGGTATAAAATGCATAAGCACTCCTAATGTTGAGATTATCTCACCATCATGTTAGGAAGATTACCAAATTTTGTACAAGTCCCCTGTGGATCACTTCACCTCTTCTTAACATTTACTCTGAGTCTTGTCGTTACCATTTAACTTATAAACTTAACATTCTATTTTTGACTTTGTTTTTATAGTTGATGTTTGAGAAAAAGGCTTCGGTCATCCAGAAGTTTGCAAAAGGTTGGCTGGCCAGGCTGCGTTACAGACGTACACTGGCGGCCATCATCCTTCTGCAGAGCTGTGTACGTCGCATCAGGGCCAAGAAAGAATTAAAGAAGCTAAAAGTGGAGGCGCGCTCTGTGGAGCACTTCAAGAAGCTCAACATTGGCATGGAAAACAAGATTATTGAGTTACAACAGAAAATAAATGAGCAGGTGTGTATTGTGAGAGTGTGGGCGTCTAGTTTTATCTGTGTTAGGTAACTGTTTGCCTTTAAATAGAAAAAAATACTGTTGCTGGCAGTTGTATCACATGCAGAGCATGTGTGTGTGTGTATCTCCCCTGCAGCATAAAGAAAACAGAGAGCTCAGCGAGAGGTTGAGTACTGTGGAGAAGACCCACATGGATAGAGAGAAACAGAGCAGAGAGATCGAAAACCTCCGTAGATCAGAGCAGGAGGCCAGAGCCAAAGCAGACACGCTTCCCTCGCTGCTGGAGCAGCTCTCGTTCCTTCAAGACGAACTGGAAAACACCCGCAGAGAGAAAAACGACCTGGAAGGCCAGACAAAGGTCTATAAGGAGCAGATACAACAGGTAGGCCTACTCCACAGTTGATGAAATCAATCCAACTTGACTGCTTGGCAACTTGACTAGAATTTTCTACATGATTCTCTTTCTTTAATTACCCGCAGTAGTAATTGTTGGGATTAATGACACAGCATTGATGGAGATACAAATATTTTTTTCAATGAAATTTAATTTAATTCATATTGTGTTCCACACCCCTGAACTCTTCCTACAACAAGCTGTACAACAGAGTTTTCGTATTGCTCAAATTGAAGATTTTTTTTTTTTTTCTCTTGATGAGTATTATTTGGTAAGGCTTTAGGTTTCCATAAACCGGCTATGGTGTCCTGTGGAGGACAATGGTAGAATTTACTTGGCAGCATTTCAATTACAAAAGATCGAAATTAAATTCAAAATGGGAACTTTGGGGAATTGTAATAACTTAGTAGCTTAGTTTGCTTTGCTTCTGTTAGTTTCTAAAACCTGAATGAAATCCAATGAAAACGAATAATAACTAGGAACACATGATTTTTGCCTCATCTCCAAATCAGGTGATAGAAGAGCTTAATATGAAGAACAGCTTGTTGAACACAGAGAAAGATCAACTGAACACAGTAATCCTTGAACAAGCCCAACAGTTAACAGGTACTGAGCAGTTTACCTCAGAGCTTTACAGTCCCCCAGTAATGGCTAAATTCACACTGAATAATAAAACCTTTTGTTTTAGAGATAAAAACCAAGATTGAGAATACAAAGCAGCTGGAGAAGGACTTATCTGAAGAACGCTCTCGCTACCAAAGTTTGCTGAGTGAACACCTGGATCTGGAGGAGCGGCACAGAGACCTGAAAGACGAGATGAATCTTGTGAGGAACTTATTTTGGCTTCACTTAAGTTTTCAGGTGGCGAGAAGTTCACTAGCTATACAGAACTCTTTTACTGTACATGGCCACACTGGCTTACAGAGCAGACTGAAACCAGTTTCCAGTAAAATGCTACAGGACATCAGTGTTGACAATACGTGCTTGTATTCTCACTGTCCTTTTCTGATTTTGTCACACCTAAGCAGAGCTCAAGCAAATCTGGTCCCACGGGGACAGACTCCAACTACAGCATTAACTCGTCTGAATATAGTCAGAGCTTAGGCTATTCTGAGGGAGAAGACAGCTCTATACAAACAGAGGTAATGTTAAACTACACTGTTTTATGGTACATTTTCTGAATTGCCTGAATATAACCCTCTTCCCAAGATATAGCTTTGATATTTGGTTTGCTGTTGATGAAACATAGTGCGTTCTTGAGCTGTGTTAGTTTTTGCATTGAGTAATTTGCAGAACACCTACAGGAAAGTGGACACGAATTCCTTGAAACAGCTGTGGGAGGACTGTTTGTTCTTCTCTGTTATAATTCTATTAATGCAGCATTTTAATTAGCTTGGAAAGAGATGAGTCATCCGATGATTGTTTTGTTTTGCTAGGATGAGACCCAGTCCACAGTGGAGCTGCCTGTCCTTCTGAAGCTCCAGAGAAGAATGAAAGAACTGGACCAGGACAAACAGTCACTGTTGCAACAACTGGATAAGAGAGAAGAAGCCCAACAAGAAAAGGCGAAAGTATGCACTGAAACACTAGCTGTGTTTCTTAATAGTGAAATGAAGCATTAATAAACAAATAGATACGTTTGTATCGGTAAGCTTTTGGTTGGTATTTGTGGTTAAATGGTTAATATTTACTTTATGTGTACATTTTTCTTAAAAGGAGGCAGAGGAGCAGAAAACTGTTGGCAGGGCAGAGCTGGACTTGGAAAAACTGAAGGTATGACTTGGTTAGATACTTCAGGGGGTAGAGTTGTTCCAACATCCTAAAAGGAGATGTCTACCATAAATCATCCTGTTAGTTGAGACTGTTGTCTGGGATGTGATTTGTTTGTTTCTCAAAATCTCTTAATGCAGTGTCAAGAACTGGAATCTGAGAACAAGAAGTTGAAGCAGGATCTAAATGAACTGCGAAGGTCTCTGACCAATGAGAAGAGTGAGTTGTTGCCTCCTGCCCCTGGTTCTCTGCCCTACAAAACGCTACTGGAACAGCTCAACTCCTCCAATGAGGAGTTGGAGATGCGAAAAGAGGAAGTGATGCTTCTCCGGTCACATATGGTCCGCCAAGAGGCTCTTAAACATAAGGTGAGAAACTACACTTATTATTCTCATTTTATAGTGAGACTGTTTCTATAATAATATTCAGTATTTTAAATTAGACAAAACAATGGAAACCGTTTTCCCATGTGAACTATAGGACTCGGCACTGGGAGGAAGTGTGAAATTAGATCTCACTGAAATTCCCTCATTTCAAGATGTTGACAGGTAAGGCCACTTAGCTCCATTCTGGTCTAAATTTTAGTTTAACTCTATCACCAGGAATGTGTCATCTTCATTTTCTGATACTCCTCCTCAGATCCACTGACGTCCATACTCTGAATGAAGATGGAGAGCTATGGCTTGCTTATGAAGGCTTGAAAGAAACCAATAGGTAATGATAATGTTATAAACTGTACTGTTTTAGTGAATTCAAGCACTTTCATCTCATATTGAATGCTATTCTCTAGGCTTCTGGAGTCCCAGATGCAAGAGCAGGAACATGTTCACAATAAAACGTATAGGACGCTGCTCGAAGAGGTGAACAAGTTAAAGGAAGAAAAGGAGCAGCAGCGAAAGCTGTTAGCTCAGAGCCTCCTTCTGCCTGAAGATGCACGGGTTGAGATGAGCCTGAAGCATGAGATTACACGGCTTACGAATGAGAATCTGGTGGGTCTGCTCACTGGCTGTTCAGATTGCCATATACTGTATGTCACAACAAGAAATAGTTTAAGAGGCAAAACTAATTTTCACCATGTTGCTCTTTGCAGTTGGTTTTCATGGTTTTAAACATTGACAGTTCTGGGCTGTGTATTCAGGTTTTGTTTTCTCTCACACTGATGTAATATGTTTGAATCATTTTAGGAACTCCTGGAGCAGCAAGACAAACAAGATAAAACCCTACGCAAGTTGAAAAAACAACTTAAATTGTATATGAAAAAAGTTGAAGATTTTGAAGGTAATCAAATGATTCACTGTGTTCTTACGTTTTATTGATATTAACACAACATTATTCCTATCATTGATGCTATCACATCCTTTCTGTGTTTAGCGAGCATTCAGCAAAAGAATAATGCCTCCTTGATGAACGCTCCTGTCAGAGCAGTTAATATCACCCGCAAGGAGAAAGAGTACCACGGCATGTTGGAGTACAAGAAAGGCGACGAGAGCCGCTTACTTAAGAATCTGGTCCTAGGTATGTTAAACCTGTTTTGCCTAAGCTAATAATTTTCTTAACTCTTTTAGAATTGCATGCAAATGTTTTTCAGGAATAGAGGACACTGAGTATTTTGCTTGAAATGTTTGTGATCTCAGATCTGAAACCTCGTGGTGTAGCAGTCAGTTTCACTCCCGGGCTTCCAGCCTACATCATCTTCATGTGCATTCGATATGCGGACCGTGAGAATGATGATCTGAGAGTCACCACTCTGCTCAATTCCACCATCACCAGCATCAAAGGGGTCATTAAGGTGCAGTGTATATATCTTTAATCTCTTCAAATTGAGTGATACATTTATTGTGAATTCATTTTTGCAGTGTTTCTACAGAAAAGAGGAAAAGATTTTGAAGTGGTGTCTTTCTGGCTGGCCAACACATGTCGGTTAATGCACTGTCTGAAGCAGTACAGTGGAGACAAGGTAAAATGGAGAATGGTTTGATGTTTATGGTTACAGCTGTAATTGTTCTTGACTTAACCCTGGATGTCTGTGTGACCTCTGATTACTGTAGGGCTTCATGGCACACAACACTCCTAAGCAAAATGAGCACTGCCTAAGCAACTTTGAACTGTCAGAGTATCAGCAGGTTATTAGTGATCTAGCTATCCAAATCTACCGCCAGCTTATCAAATGCATGGAGGACATTCTGCAGCCCATAATAGGTGATGAGACATAATCTCAATTTACATAGTAACAAATATCATGTTCTTCAGAAATTTGCACATAACAGAGCAGAATTATTATTCATATTTTTTATCTCCCTAATTTGTATGTTACATGTAGTGGGAAGCATGCTGGAGCATGAGACAGTCCACAGTGTTTTAGGGTCCAAACCAACAGGCCTGAGGAAGAGAAGCACCAGTTTCTCAGAGGAAGGGGCTGTGACAGTGGAAGTACTCCTGCAGCGTCTCAGCCTCTTCCACTCCACCATGAGTCAGCATGGGATGGATTCAGACATTGTTAAGCAGGTAGTCAGGCAGCAGTTTTACATCATCTGTGCGGTCACCCTCAACCACCTGCTGCTGCGAAAGGACATGTGCTCCTGGAGCAAAGGCCTGCAGATCAGGTAAAGCAAGGATCATACATTGACCATGAAATTGTACTGAAAGTAATGAAATTAGAGGAAGAAGAGTATGGATTAGAATTATTGCTCTTTGCTTACATGAGGCAAGCATTCTCAGATTTCTAGTGGTCTGTTTATTGTAAAACATGTAGGACACATCATTAGTCTTGTTTTTAAACCATGATTTCCCACTCAAGTTTCTATTTTTACATAAAATTAGTGTAATATTGAAATGGCAGGCAACATGCATGTGTATATCCACATTTCAGTTTCATAACAGAATTGATGATGGGGGGCGGAACCTGTAGTCTGATCTGTTTCCCCTATGCCTCTGGCTCCAGGTACAATGTTTGGCAGTTGGAGGAGTGGCTGGCAGAGAAGCAGCTGGCAGACTGTGGGGCCAAGGAGACTCTGGAGCCACTTGTACAGGCTGCACAGCTTCTGCAGATCAAGAAGAAGACAGAGGCAGATGCCCAGGCTATATGCTCCATGTGTACTGCCCTCACCACAGCACAGGTCCATCATCAGTAAAAGTTCAGCCATCTTCATCTGTAGTAATATTTTAATAGTACTTTGATCATATTTGTTTGTTTTGACAGATTATAAAAGTGCTGACCTTGTACACTCCAGTGATCGAATTTGAAGAGCGAGTGTCAACCACTTTCATCACATTTATTAAAGTGAGTAGCTGGAAAGTTAAGTCAGTGTTGGCAATAATGCAGTGCCCTTTTATATTCAGTCTTGTGTTTTATAATACTATTTTCATCTTATTTTACTATGTCCTTTTATATTTTTAGAACCTTTTGAAAGATAGTGGTGAGTCATCTACTTTGATGATGGATGCCAAGAAGATCTTCTGTGTCACCTTCCCCTACACACCCTCTCCTGTGGCTCTGGAGACCATCCAGATCCCTGCTAGCCTTAATCTCGGCTTCCTCACTCGCATCTAGATCAGTGACCTCTGACGCTTACACTTCAGTCTCTGAAATCTGTTTACTGGAGTAAAAATGTCTAAGACAGTTTTTCACCAAAGTTTGTACCCGATGTTTTCACTGTTACTGATTTCTGTGGTAGTGCAGCACAATAAGGAAAGTTTTCTTACATGCATTAGTGTTTCAGCCAAACAGTAATAACTATATAAACTATAAAATATGCACAGTGAATATGTAAAACTGTCTTTTAAAGGTTGTCTCTTACTGCACTTAATGGTTTGTACAGGTGTTACTGCTGTCTTAATTCGTGCATTTATGATTTTCCTACTGCTTTCTAAAGCCAAGTAAGGTCATTTGACCTTTTACAATAGAAAAACTTGCAATTATTAATTTGAGTGCTTGCACGGAGAGAGTTTGAAAAATTAGCATCCTTGAGAAATTTTAACATATTTTGCAATGTCACATGCTCATTTAAATGTTGAAAGACAGAGATAAGCTTCAGGGGCTCTGGTTTTTGTCTGTAACTTTGTGTTTGTAACTACTTACATCAAGTGATGGGGTTTATGTCAAGGTGTAGGAACAGAAAATGATTCAAGTATGTATTTAATGCAGTTGAACATATTGAAGGCTGACTTTTCAGTAAGATGGTTTGACATGCTTTAAAACTGCATAAAGGGTTTATATCATTTCAGGTGAGTCACCACAGAGCCCCCAAGAAAATAGCAAATACTTTAATTGTGCTTAGTATTTCTCTGTCCTGATGCTGACACATTCACTGTTCTGATGCATAACTAATAATTGTAATAAGGTGTAAATTTGTATTTAACAGTAGACATCTTGCATTGAATAGCTATAACCAAATAGGGATGCACACTCCATCTTATTTAGGAGCAGTACTGGAGACTGGATTTGATCCAAAAGACTTATAAACAGCTCTGTATGAGTGCTTGAAATACAAAAGTTGGGTAATCTTGGAGTGTAAAAATGTACTGAACTGATGGAACTAAGTCTTGTCAACCAGTTTATGTAATATCTGCTGTTAAACTATGTTTGTCTTTTACTTTTCTCAAGTTCACTATTGCTCAGTATTTGGAAATGCCTAACACCTGAAAAAGGTCTAACATGTCTTAAACCTCTAAACTGTGCACACCAACGATGAGTTCGTTTCCTTGTTAAAGAGTTTATGTAAAACTCAAGTATTCTCAGTTGAGCATGTGCACTGATAGCGTGAGTCAAGTTGGTATAAGGTGGTGAAATATTTACTTCTTATCATTTTTGCTTAACTACCCAAAGCAGCGTCTGACAGGGTGAGCTGGCTGCGATCTGTATCCGGTTTCTTTTATTGTAAGAATCCTTGAGCAAACGAGCACACCCACACTGTCAAGCCACTGTCACAAGATGGGAAGGCGGAGTCATCCAGTCAAATTCCACGACAGGTGCGCGACAAGTCAATTAGTAAGAGTGGAGACAAACGTGGAGCATTAGCCATGGGGCTTTCAGAATAAAAGCCCTAGCTCTGCCATTTTTATGTGAGATTAGCGAAACAGCCTTGGTTCCCAGCCTTTATTTGTGACCCCACGTAATAAATTATGGCCTTTTGAGTTATAGACGGTTAAACCAAAGTTTCGCTGTCAGATTATCTCATTTGAGGAATTTTAGAAGCCAGGAGAAGTGAAAGTTTTAACTACTATATAAGAAAAAAGGCAAAGATTTATAGTTATTAAATAAACATAGTTTTGTTTAACACTGGTGTTTTATTTCTTAAACCTGTGAACCCTCAAATTCATACCCATGCTTTACAGATCAGTATTATTAATGGTACCAAAAATTGAGTCCAGTGAAATAGCCATTAGAAAATAAATATTTGGCCTATTTGTAATAATAGCAATGTGACTACACATGAATAGCTTTAATCATATTCATTTATAAATGAGTAATATATAGGACTGGTACAATTAATAGCATTTAAGAGATATGTTGTAAACCATTGGTTAAAGTTTAATTACGGTTGAGTATTATTTTGAAAATTACGATCGGAAAAGAGATGTAATTTGTACAACCTGCCTTTGGTCACTGGCATTGTTGTACGGCGCAGGTAGGAACTTCGTTGGTAACCTGGAAAGTACTGTGATACAACTGGTGCTAAACAAATATAGAGACAAGTGAACTTACAATAATAATGCATCAGTATGGCTTTGTTGGTACTGTACACCGAGGTAAGAAAAACACTTTCTGTTGTTACTACAACAATAATATTTCCATACTGACAACTTGCTGAGACATATGGAAACTTTGTCACTGCTGAAGCTGTACCCAGTGGAATTTAAGATCTAAATGCTTAACTGTTAACTCTAAATAAACGTTTAAAATGTAAATCTTTATAATTTTACAACAGAGGATGCAAATTATTATATCAGGAAAAAAGGGGTCTTCCTAGTTAATGTTTACATTTATGGTGTTACATAGAATATTTCAGAAAGTATTGCTTACTTGTAACCTGCACTCTTGGAATATTCTTTCTTAGTACAACAGAGTCTGGATTCAAGATGCAGAACATGTGTGGAAATCAGCCGAGATTACGAAAGATTTTCATTTGGGAGATAATATTCTTGAATTGCTTCTTGAAGATGGCACTGTAAGTAAAATGTGGCTAATAAGGCCTTCACATGGTGGATTTATGAAGGTGAGAAGCAACATCTGATCTGATTCATAACTTGTCACTGTGAAAGGAACACTACTACCCTGTTGACCCATCAAACCCACAACTCCCTCCTCTTCGCAATCCGGACATTTTGGTTGGGGAGAATGACCTCACAGCTCTCAGCTACTTGCATGAACCTGCAGTCCTGCACAACCTCAAAGTGCGATTTGTGGAGTCCAGGATCATCTATACCTACTGTGGTACTGTCAAGTAATATCTAAACACTGAAGTGCAAGTTGTGAGCTCTTTGTGCTTTTGGCTCAGCCTGTGCCATTTCCTCATTTCCAGGTATTATACTGGTGGCTGTAAATCCATACAAACAGCTCCCTATCTATGGAGATGCAATCATTCATGCCTACTCAGGCCAGAACATGGGAGACATGGACCCTCATATATTTGCTGTGGCAGAGGAGGCTTACAAACAGATGGCCAGGTAAACGAGAGCTCAGAGAGCCGCAGAGAGTACAATATGCCGTGTAAATTTAACAGTGCATTGCACATTTTCCTTCCTCAGAAACAACAAGAACCAGTCGATCATTGTCAGTGGTGAATCTGGAGCTGGTAAAACAGTGTCTGCTCGGTATGCTATGAGGTACTTTGCTGTTGTAAGTAAATCTGGCAGTAAGACTCGAGTTGAAGACAAAGTCCTGGCATCCAATCCAGTAACAGAGGTATGATTTGACTAGATCTGGTGTTCTACTCACCAGACAACATGTAGCTGTTGTTGCCACTGAGCTCTCGCATTAGTTGATGTTACAGCACTGTGACAACATTAAACTAACTGCCAGTGTTATGCATGCATTGTTCAATTAAGATAACTAATTTCTCTAATAAATGGAAAAGGTCTAAAGGACTTGGTTTTCCTTCAGGCAATAGGAAATGCAAAAACCATAAGAAATGACAACAGCAGCCGGTTTGGCAAATACACTGAGATCAGCTTTGACAAGAGGTACCGAATCATTGGAGCAAACATGAGAACTTACCTCTTGGAAAAATCCAGAGTTGTTTTTCAGGTAACGTGTGAGATGTGGAGGCTTATGAGTGTTTTTGTTTTATATCTGATATGTAATGATGGATTCCCTATTTTTCTTATTTCAGGCAGACAACGAGCGAAATTATCACATTTTCTATCAGATGTGTTCCTGTGCTCACCTGCCCGAGTTCAAGAACCTAAGACTGTGTGAGTGTCAATACTGAGTGTGTTTGGTGTTTAAACCTGCACCGAATAAATATTCAGGTCTTCACTAAAACTATATACATTTATTGTGTGATTACATTATCATAGGTGGGCTTACATAATAATACATTGTTTTTTACTTGCAGTGAGTGCAGATAACTTCCAGTATACCTCCTTGGCTGGTGATGTCACTATAGAAGGCGTAGATGACAAGAAAGGCATGGAAGAGACTCTGCGGACCTTCTCATTGCTGGGTAAAAAGCTGTAAAATACTGTGACATTGCTCTTAGTGTGACTGTTCTGATCATTTTGCCCTTCTCTCCGTGATACTCCAGGGTTGAAGGAGGACTTTCAGTCAGATGTTTTCAAAGTTTTGGCAGCCATTCTGCATTTGGGAAATGTGGAAATCAGACACTCGGGAGATGACAAATCATCAGTTCCAGTGAGTCTTAACTCAACAAGCCTTAAACAGCTTTTTTCTGTTCAAGCTTAGGTCGTCAAACATTAACCAGGTTAAATACAAAATGTGATTTGTCTATCTTCCAGCCCAGTGACCCACACCTTGCAGTGTTCTGTGAGTTGCTGGGTGTGAACACAGAGAGGTTGGTGCGTTGGCTGTGCCATCGGAGGATCGTTCTGGTGGCTGAAACAGTGGTGAAGCCGGTGTCCAAGGAGCGTGCAGTAAATGCCAGAGATGCTCTAGCCAAGCAGATCTATGCCCATCTCTTTGACTGTATTATTAACAGGATAAACACAGCACTAAAGGTTCCAGGAAAGCAACATGCTTTCATTGGTGTTTTGGACATTTATGGGTAATGCAGATACAACATATTTCCTTCTAGTATTTGACATATTCTAATTTCTTTAGTTAACATTTTTGACCTGAACTTGATGTTTTTTTGTCCTCAGCTTTGAAACATTTGACATCAACAGCTTTGAACAGTTTTGTATCAACTATGCAAATGAAAAGCTTCAGCAGCAGTTTAACCTGGTATACATCATCATTATACCTGGTTATTTCAGAGTACTGCATGTACCCCTTTATCAGCTCAGAGGATTATTCTCTTGTCTTTGTTATATTCAATAAGCACGTGTTCAAGCTAGAGCAGGAGGAGTACATGAAAGAGGACATCCCATGGACGCTGATAGATTTCTATGACAACCAGCCGGTCATTGACCTGATTGAAGCAAAGATGGGAATCCTTGACTTGCTTGATGAAGAATGTTTGGTAAGACTGAACAAATGTGATGTGACATGACATTTTTCTTTTCTCTGATTGTGTTTTAATCACCTCTGTTTCACACTGTATATCCCCTTACTTTACAGTTTCCTCAGGGCACTGATCAGAGTTGGCTGCAAAAGTTGTACAACTACTTAGATGCCAGTCCTCTATTTGAGAAGCCGAGGTTATCAAATGAGGCATTTGTGATACAACACTTTGCAGACAAGGTGAAGTCCCCAAAGCTAAATTTGAAACACAAAAATGACTCTTACTGTTATTAATAATTAATCTGGTTGGATTCCTAGCAGATATACTTTTTAAACCATGTCAGTGTGTTTCCCTTATCAGGTTGAATATCAGTGCAGGGGCTTTCTTGAGAAGAATAGAGACGCTCTCTATGAAGAACTGGTTGAGATTATGAGAGTCAGTAAGGTAATCAACTGACCTGCTTTTACAGCTTTTTAGTTTTTTTTTTAACACAACTATGGTCACAAAAACAAAAATGTTTGTCTGTTATGAAAGATTTGTCCTTAACATCTCTCTCCTGCTTGCAACTGTTATCAGTTTCCTTTTCTGGCCAGCTTTTTCCAAGGGGAGGAACAAAGCACCGTGACCAGTAAAGGTGTCAAAGTGAGGCCTGCTAGGCCTGGAGTGAAACCAGCCAATAAACAGCTGAGGACTTCTGTGGGAAATAAGGTGAGAATGTTTACTCTCACTGCTCACTGGAGATTATAAAAGCACCACTCCAGTATTTGCAGGTGTGAGTCTGTATATGACTCTCGTCATTCTTTCTCATGAACTGTGTGATTCAATGTAGTTCTGCCGCTCCCTGTCATTACTGATGGAAACACTGAACGCTACCACACCTCACTATGTACGCTGCATTAAGCCAAATGATGAAAAGCTCCCATTTGAGTGAGTACTTTTGAGTCTGTGATTAAAATAATTCACACTTTATTTTCCTGAATAATGAGCACATGTGTAATTTTGGTTTAAGTGAGTGCTTTCTCGTGTTTTAAGATATGACTCCAGGAGGGTTGTGCAGCAGCTGCGAGCCTGTGGAGTCCTTGAAACTATTCGTATCAGTGCAGAGAGCTATCCATCCAGGTGATTCTCTGTTAATTGACTCTATACTTGCCAATAGCTGAATCAGTAATATTCGCGTCTTTCTGTGGGTGTGTTGTACTGACTTATGTGCTTTTTGTTTGCAGGTGGACATACATTGAATTTTACAGCCGATACAGTATCCTAATGTCCCATGAGGAGGGGGACCTCAATGACAAGAAACAGACCTGCAAAAATGTGCTTCAGCGGTTGATTCAGGTTAGCTGCCTCCAGGGGCAGATCTAGAAATTTTTGGGTGGGGTGGCCAGGCTGGGGCACAGACGCAGAGTGGGGTGGCACATTTGAAATATATGTAAAGAATAAATTGAACCACTAGTTCTGAGATAATAAACCATACATTATTAAGAATCTAGCTGTTTATTTTGTTTAAAAATGAGACACACACAGTGTTTTCTTTAGTTAACTTTGGCTGCATTCCTTATTTACTCCTGGCTGGGGACATCGCTGCTGTACAAGGATCAGTAACACCCCTGGCCAACCCCTGGATCCACCCATGGCTATGTCACATGGTGCCTTAAATACAATGTTGTGTCATTATTGTCACTTTGGCCTCCAGGACTCCAACCAGTATAAGTTTGGTCGGACAAAGATCTTCTTTCGAGCTGGTCAGGTAGCTTATCTAGAGAAGCTGCGTCTGGACCGACTGCGAGGAGCCTGCGTAACCATCCAGAAACATGTCCGTGGATGGAGCCAGAGGAGGAGGTACTTGCGCATGAGAGAGGCTGCCATCATCCTGCAACAGTACATCCGTAGAAAGAAGGCAATCCGGTTAGAGATGCTCATTAATAGTGTTGTTGTTCTACATCACCTGTAGTATCTATCTGGTTTTTTATATTTACATCTACTTATTTTGTTTGTAAACCTACAGTAAAGCAGTGAGTGCTGAAACACTCACTGCTTTACTGAAGAAAGGCTGGGCAGCAATGGTGATCCAGAGGCACTGGAGAGGCTACCGCATGAGACAGATCTACCAGCTAGTTCGTCTGGCCTCCATCACCATCCAGGCCTTCACACGCGGTTGGATGGCCCGTAAACAGTACAAGAAGGTCACTAACTGGAGGATCATTAATTATTCATCTGTATCCTTTATTATGGTGTGAAGATATAAAATGTCATCTCATGAGATTTATGCCCTTTATGTTATCTGTCAGATGATGAAGGAGCACAAAGCCCTGGTTCTCCAAAAGTATGCCAGAGCATGGCTCGTTCGACGGCGATTTCAAACCATGCGTCGGCTGGTGCTTAATGTCCAGCTGTCCTACAGGGTGCAGCAGCTCAGGAAGAAAATCGAAGAGCAGGTAGAGACACTTCCAAAGTCATTTCAGCTGCGGCTTTAATATAGACGTCGTATATAAATCCTGTAACCTTACAGAATAAGGAAAACTGTGGACTGGTGGAAAGATTCACCAGCTTGGCCAACACCCATTCTCAAACCATGGACAGACTTCAGGGTTTGGAGGTACAGCTGGAAAAATCAAACAACCAGAAAGCATCTCTGGAGGCAAGAGAGAAGAAAGCGAAAGAAGATGCTCATCAGGTCAGTGTTGAAGTTAATCCTAAATAGTTAATACAGTTGTTAAAGTCCTTGTGGCTTTCTGTTTATTTGATGGTGTGTAGATTTCATGAGCTTTTTAAAAACATACTTTTATTCTTGCTCCAGACAATTGCACAGCTTCAAAGGGAAATAGAAACATTAACCCTTGAAAAACAGAACCTGGAGAAACAGTTTGCAGCTTCCATCAAAGAGGCTAAAGGTAATAGAAGTAGAGCTTGCAAGGTATGCCTCTCATATTGTAATATGTACCAAATTTATGACTGGCTTTACACTTACAGAGAACTTTGATCAAATAAAGAGGAATCTTTTAGACGAGAAAGAAAATGAAACAAGACTTAAAAAGTAAGTAATGAAAATGTGCACTCAACCTCCTTTACAGCATTAAGGAAGTATTTCTTTCAGCTAAATGCAAATTTTAGCTCAAACTCTTCAGTTATTCATATTGTTCATGAAAGTATTTTTGGCAGAATTGCAGAGAACAACATTGTGATACAGAGACAGGACCATGAGAAGGAGGCAGGAACTCTCAAAGAGGAGATTAAGAGATTGAAAGAAGAGAGAGCCAATCTTCACAGAAAGCTAGAGGAGGGGGGGCAGGTGAACTCTGACCTGCAGGAACAAGTCATCCAGCTCACCAAGCACGTCAAGGTCATTCCTGAGCTGCGCAGAGATCTGAGCAACTTGCAAAATCAGAGGAATGACATGAACCGAAAGATGAAGCAGCAGTCTGAACAAGCAAGAGGTACAGACTTTTTGTAATGTAAAATCAGTTCCTTATGTTAATACATAAATGAAGATAGCATTTTTTATGAACCTCTAATATTTTTCTATCTTTCTTTAGCTAAAATGAACGAGATTGTGAGACAACTTCTTGGTGGTGTTGTTGCGGAGCAGGTTCTTTTGGGGTAATCTAAATATTTTCAGTGTTCCTTTTCTCTCACATGGTTGTTCCCCATGTAATCCAGCAGTAAGTCTCACACAATGTTTCTCTGAAGGTTAACTCCAGATGACTCTGAGAAGATTGATGAAGTGGAAGATATGCTGGGATCCTTTGAAAGCCTACAAAAAGCTAGCAGGTCTACATTTTTACAGAAATCATTCCTCATAATATCAGTTGTAATAGGTTTTGTATCTGTGTGTCAAACATGCAAACACTCGACCCTGTTATTCACAATTCTACTTTTGATGGCAGAATACTGGAAAACCACCAGAAGGAGCAGAAAGACAGCTATGATACCCAAGTGGAGGGCTTCAAATTAAAAATGGACCATCTTCAAGAGGAGAACAGCAGGTTGCAAACGCTGTTCCAGGAGAAAAGTAATGTCGCTGAGAATATTCGCCAAGAAGTGTCCAGGCTCAGCAGTGAGAACTCGGTGCATTATTTAATTTTTGAATCCATATTTCATTTTGTTGGATAGATGAGGTGCAGTACATATTATGATTTGTCGTTTCCTTTATTTAACATGATCCACAGGTTATACCTGAACTGAAACTGCAGGTTTCAGAGCTGCAGAGACAAAGCCATGAATTGGAGATCCAAGTAATAGAGCAGAAGAGAGAATTAGCAGGTTGATATGATTTTCTTTTTCTTTTTTTGTCCAAGAATTTAATTATAAAGCTCTTTTACAGCTGAATGTTCTACTTGAGGGTGGTATGGTGGCGCAGTAGTTAGTACTGGTACCTCACAATAAGGAGGTTCCATGTTCAAGACCTGGGCTTTGTATGTTCTCCAAGTGTCTGTGTGGGCTCTCTAGCTTCCTTCCAAAGACGTGCAGCTTATGCTGATTGTTGACTCTCAATTGCCTGTAGGTGTGGTTGTTTGTCTTTAAGTGTCAGCCCTGTGATAGACTGGCGACCTTGTCCAGGGTGTAACCCACCTCTTGCCCAATGTCAGCTGGGATTCGTGTCCATCTTCAGGATGAGTGATATAGATAATGGATGTTCTAAATATTACTTTGTTAATTTTTTTTGTCTGATTTATTTAAAGAAAAGACTGAGGAGATCACCAACATTCTTCAAGGGAAGATTGAAGAAGAGAGAGCACAGCGCAGGTAAAATACTCAGAGTGGAGTCTGTTTCTTGACCGAGGTTGGGATAGCCATTTCTGAGTCTGTTTTTTTATTAGGCTCTTTGAGGGAAAAGCTGAAGAGCTGGAGGAGATAAGGAGGGACCTTCAAGACCGAGTAGAGGAGCTTGAAGAGGAGAATGATCACTTGAAGAGACAGCAGCTAATGGAGAGCGAGGCCAAGAGAAAACTGAGACAGGAGACTTCACGGTTAACAGCTGAGAACATGGTATACATGGATAAGTAGATTAATTACAGTATGAATGTGTGAATTCATGTCTAGTCAGTAAACAGGCTCTATTTTTCATCCAGGACTTTGAAGAGCAGCTCGACCAGAAAGACAGATTAATAAAGAAACTCCAGTATCAAATAAAGAGCCTTGAAGCATCACAGAAAGGTATGGTTGTAGGGTTGTGGCTTGTACACGTTAATTGTCACATACATCTAACTACTCCACGCTAATGCTTCGTTGTTTTTCACACAGCCAAGTCTACGCCCTCTGTTCCCAAAGATTATCTTGGCATGTTGGAGTACAAGAGAGAGGACGAACCCAGGCTCATTCAAAACATCATTCTTGGTATTCTTCCTCTGTACTAATAATATAGTCAGATTAAAGTCTGTTATGTGAGTTTATGTGCCTTTCTCCCATTGCTGGCATAGTCTTGTTCCTCTCTTAACTGAGAAGGAATAAACATATAGAAATCACAATAACTGAATGAATGAATAAAGTAATGTTCATCCTACAAACATGTGACAAACTGTCCACAGACCTGAAGCCCAGAGGTGTGGTGGTGAGCATGATCCCTGGTCTGCCAGCTTACGTCCTCTTTATGTGTGTCCGCCATGCTGACTACCTGAACGATGAAGCCAAACTCAAGTCTCTTATGAATGCAATCATCGGTGGTGTCAAAAAGGTTATCATGGTGAGGTTGATTATAAGTCTGTTAGCCTGTATGTCTACTGTAGATCTACTAAATGAAGAGGAAGCTTTTACTCATGACCACATAGCCTGTAGGTTGGCAGCAGCTTAGTTTATTCTGGTAATTTGACTTTGAAATACTGTTGAGAATGATAAAAAAGCAACAAGAGTAAAATTAAAAGTAAAAGTAAACTTTACAAGTGGCATAAATAAAATGAAATGACACCTCTGTGTAGAATTGTAAGAGTTGCTGGAAATGAATAAAAACAAAACACGGCTGTCACGTTTCTGTTTCAGAGTCACCCCAAAGACTTTGAGTTGCTGTCCTTCTGGCTCTCTAACATGTACCAGCTGCTCAACTGCCTGAAGCAGTACAGTGGGGAAGAGGTACAGATTTACTGGATTTATCCCTCGTGGCACTTTATGCTTTTTGTCTGTCCTATTCTGTGGCATGTTTTGACTTTTTTTTGTTGTTATTTTTGATGTCTGTTCACAAAAGGAGTTCATGAAACAAAGTACTCCTCGCCAAAAAAAGAACTGTTTGCAGAAGTTTGATTTGTCAGAACACAGGCAGATCCTCAGTGATCTGGCCATCCACATCTACCACCAGTTTATTACAGTCATGGAAAAGACCCTCACTCCTGCGATTGGTATTTTACAGAACACAGTTGATTATTGTTGGATACAAATTGTTGGTAACCTTTTTAAGCATCCTAAAATGTGCTTCTTTATTTTTCATGACCAACAGTACCCGGCATGTTGGAGCATGAGAGTTTACAGGGGATTTCAAGCATGAAGCCAACAGGCTTCAGGAAACGTTCCAATAGCATCTACGAGGAATCAGAGACCTACACCATCTCCTCCATTATTCAACAGCTCAGTGTCTTCCACTTAACCATGATGCAGCATGGCATGGAGCAGGGCCTCATCAAACAGGCTGTTAAACAACTGTTCTTCCTAGTGTGCGCGACCACCCTCAACAGCATCATGCTCCGCAAAGATATGTGTTCCTGCAGGAAGGGAATGCAAATCCGGTTTGTGGTTGAGGTTGCAATATTTGAATTAAGGAGTATTTTTGGCAGAAAAAAAGCTTAGTGTCATAGTGTCTTTGTTCCTTTAGATGTAACATCAGTTACCTGGAGGAGTGGCTGAAGGAGAAGGAACTTCAAAGCTCTAATGCTATGGACACTCTAAAGCCGCTGAGCCAGGCTGCCTGGCTGCTGCAAGTCAGCAAGTCCACTGATGGCGATGCTGAGGAGATTACTGAAAAATGCACTGAACTAAACCCTGTTCAGGTACTTGGCCATATTGTACACATTAAGACAGTAGAAACTCCAGCTTCTCTCTATTGTAAACCAAAACATACATTTGAATTTTTTAGATTGTGAAGATTTTGAATTCGTATACACCTATTGATGATTTTGAAAAAAGGGTAATGTCATCATTTGTCCGCAAGGTTCACGTAAGTCCCGTTATTGATTTTCAAATTTTAATATATTGAGACTTTCCAGTTTAAAATATGCTGGATAGTTTTATGAAATACACGTTCACCTACCATATTGCACTTCACTACAAATGTCTGGCTCTTGTTTGCAGTCATTACTACAAGATCGTGAAGGGTCCACGCAGCTGATGCTGGATACAGATTATCGTTTCCAGGTCACATTTCCCTTCTGCCCGTCCTCACAGGCTCTAGAGCTGCTGCAGATCCCAAGCAGTCTTCATCTGGACTTTCTAACCAGGATCTGACACCTTTCATTCCTTATGATGGATATGGTTGTATCTTATTGTATATACATAAATATGTAAACCTATAAAAACAATCTAAACCACATATTTAAAATTCAGTGCTGTTGGCATTTTAAGAAAAACTGAGGTCATATCTCCAACTTCAGCCCCTCTCTCAATTTATTCAATCAAATATTTGTACTGAATTTTATTAGAGCTGCAAGGAATAGTCACATAATTGATTAGTTGGTCCAAATGTGTGGCAGCTATTTTGATAATTGCATTTCTACCAATTCTCTGGATTGGCAGTTTAATCTTTAATGAAAAAATCATCACAGCCCTAAATCTTATTTCCCAGCATCCAGGTCTAAATACTGTCAGCACCTCCTTTGTGCTGCTGTGACTAAAGATCTAGCGGGAAAGAATGAATCCTTCATTACTTTTTTGTTGTTGTTTTAAACATAGCGAATGCGTGTATATACTAGGTTGATAAAAGTCCTATAAATTCCCCAGACACTGAGGGCATGACTTCAGTGTTTGTAACGGTGTGTAAGTGAAAATGGACTCAGTGAAACAACAGTATTCTGCAAGGTCGATTAGAAAACTGTACTGTAAGAGATATTGAATATGAAAACATTTTTAATGATTCAATCAGTCAGAGAGCTGCCTCGGTTTTGTACCGGAGACAAATTGGTTGTGTGTGTGTGTAACATACTTGGCCAAAAAAGTGGTTATTTTTTATCATTGAAATAAATTATTTCATATGTAAAACGTTCCAGCGTGCCATGCTTATCTGTTACATTTCACAGTTCAGATAGAGAAACGGTATTGCGTTTTCCATGCCGGCAGCGTGAATATGCATTATTTAGCTGTAGTGAGGATGCAGCCCGTGTGGAGCAGCAGTATCTCCAGGATGCAGGCTCCTCCTCCTTTCTCCCCTGGAAACCGGAGGAGCATCTTCTCCCTGTGACGTCATGACAGCAGCATCCACTGCTAGCTCTGCTTTAAGCCTTTTCGCTGCGATCGCTGCCTGCACAAAGGAAATACTATATGAGATCCCCTGTACTCCCTGAAATGGCGACTCAGGAGGTACAGCTGAATGAAACTCTGGTTCATCTCAAAGAGGAGTCGGAGAATCTGAAGTCGAAACTGGAGGAGGAAAGAGCGAAGCTGCACGACGTCGAGCGTGAGTGCTGAAAATGGAGAGGCCTTGATCCATCCCTACGATTAGTGTGACAAGTAACATCAAATCTGTAAAAATAGCGTTAGGTTATTCTACGGGAGTTCAAATGTCGCCAGGTTTAAAGGATTGTGGATTTATCGAAGCTGATTATTGACCTGACTGACTTGACGATAACTCAGATCTGACAGCTGTTTGTTTGCCTCCTCATTCTATAGCCCAGTGCGTCCAGCAGAAATCCGTCGGTGTATTGTCCAATCATGTCTCACCAATATGGTTATATGGCATTAGAGATGTTAAATAATAAAAATGTGAAGTCTACAAACAGGCTATTTGTTATGCAGGTCTTATGAGCGATTTGAGGACATCACAGGTTAAAGAAAAGATTAATTTTCCTCCATGTAGCTTAGGCCTAGTTTGATCAGTATGGCTGCCAGGACTATTAAATGAAGGTCTATATGGTTCAAGTATTACTGTAATGTGCATTGTGTGTGTGTGTGTGTGTACAGTACATCAGGTGGCAGAGAAAGTGGAAGGTCTGGGTCAGTTTGTCATGAAGACCCGAAGAACTCTGAAGGGACATGGAAACAAAGTTCTGTGCATGGACTGGTGTAAGGACAAGAGGAGAATCGTCAGCTCTTCGCAGGTCACAACCTCTGAGTTGTATAGAATGTTACAGTTTAGTTTGTATAGGCAAATCATCTACAATAAATGTGTTTTACATTGTTCTAATCTGTTTGCAGGATGGAAAGGTTATCGTATGGGATGCTTTCACCACCAACAAGGTAACTTTTAGTGTATAATATTTTCAATATATAATATGTATGATCCCTTACACTACGCTCCTTGAACATACCTAAGATTGGTGGCTGAAACCTTTTGCTTTGTGACTTAAAAATGAAGCTATCAGCCAAATATGTACCTTAAATTGTGTGCACACGTGTTGCTCCTTCAAATAAATCAATATAATTTGTTCATAAACACTGGAATCCAGTGTTTTTAGCTTTTTGTGTGGGGTTGAAATGAATGCTTTCAATAAGTATATAATTCACTTTCTTTACTGTACCATGTAAGATCAAATTTGTGAGCTTTCATGGTTTTAACTGCAGTACAGAGACTGACTACAGGACAATCTAAAACTGAATGTCTACCAGCTGTGCTCTGAATATGCCTAATGAATCTGATTCATCTCACTGTTCCAGTGCAGCTCATGCAAGTTTGTCTTTTGATGTTTATTAGGAACATGCTGTGACAATGCCTTGCACCTGGGTGATGGCCTGTGCCTATGCCCCATCTGGCTGCGCTGTAGCCTGTGGGTGAGTGTCTTACTATCCATGATGATCCAAATGTGGTCCATTGTGTATTTGGGTTTATCTTCTGGGGTAAACTGGGGTTGCTTTCAATCACAGGGGCCTGGATAACAAATGCTCAGTGTATCCTCTGTCCCTGGACAAGAATGAGAACTTGGCAGCAAAGAAGAAGTCGGTGGCCATGCACACAAACTACCTGTCTGCCTGTAGCTTCACTAACTCTGATATGCAGGTGAGATTTCACAAAACCTTAAAGAAACAGGCTTATATATACATTAAAAAAACAGTGGTCACACATGTCATGTTTTGCTTGTGTTTTACCAACAATTTAGGCAAACACAGCTGTGTTTCTATTCATCACAATTTCTTTCTCATTATTAATAAGAAGTCACTGCCTTCTACAGATGGGTGACAAATTAAAGGAAAAATCTGGATAAATAAGTGGAGAAAAATAATGAATACAGATGCTGGCATTTTAGGTTCACTTGTCCCCTTAAGCCATCATTCCACTGCCACCGGGAGCTATATTGTACCTATACCGTGCCAGGGTTTTTGTGTTTCCTGTTTTAGAAGAGGACTGTGCCCAGACTGAAACCAAGCTAAAAAGCATGATATCTCGCCCTGTTCAAAAGCAGGTTCAACGTGTGATACTCTGCCCTCAACCCAGCTGTCTACGTCACTACACTCTGAATGGCAGAGAGAAAACTGGAGCAACAGGAAGTGTCTCAGCTGAGGAAAGAGACCCGCCCTCTTTAAAAACAAGAAAAAAGAAGAAGGAAATGTCAGCACATTAGGAAGAAATAAAAGGAAGCCAATACTGTTATGCATGTACTGCTGATGTCTGTTCCAGTCGTGCAGAGGGTGGTACAACAAGAAGTTCTCTGCAAGAGCTCACACTGTGCAATGGAAACACAAACGCGTATTGGGGCCAGGCAGCCCAGTCCAATAGCCGGCCAGTTGGCCTGAATGGCAGTGGAATGACAGCATTAGTGGAAGTGTCACTGCAAATCAATACATCCTATGATGAAACATTTCTATCCTGATGGGAGTGGTCTCTTCCAGGATGACAGAGCCCTCACCCAGAGAGCAAGAGAGGTCACCAGTTGATGAGTATGAAAATGATGTGAATCATATGCTATGGCCTTCACAGTCACCAGATTTCAACCCAGCTGAAACACCTATGGGAGATTTTGGACAAATGTGTTAGACAGTGCCTCCACCGCCATCATCAAAGCATTAAGTGAGGGAATATCTTTTGGAAGAAAGGTGTTCATCCCTTCAGTAAAGTCCAGAGACTTGGATAGTCAATGCCAAGGAGCACTGAAGCTGTTTTGGTGGCACATGGTGGCCCATCACCTTACTAAGCCATTTTATGGGGGTTTTTCCTTTTATTTGGCACCTGTCTGTGTCTTTCAGTGAAAAAAGCTTGCCTGCTTTGTTAATAATTCACAGTACTGAGTAGCTCCTGGTTTAATGCTCTGGTCACATGATGTTTCATACAATCCATTTTTAGTCTGTGTGTGCATTTTTACTGAACTTCAGAACAGCTGTTCTTCTTCCTCCTCATTGTCTGCTTGTGTTAAAGATCCTGACGTCCAGTGGGGATGGTACATGTGCATTATGGGATGTTGAGAGTGGGCAGCTGTTGCAAAGTTTCCATGGACACGCGGCAGATGTGCTCTGTCTGGACCTGGCCCCCTCTGAGACTGGAAACACATTTGTTTCAGGGGTAAGGACACTTGCTCCTTTGGTTTTCACTGCTTATTATCACTTTTTCAACTGAACTGAATTATTTAAAGTATTTTCCCATGTTCTGCATAATTTTGTTTTTTTGCAGGGTTGTGATAAGAAGGTTAATGTGTGGGACATGCGTTCTGGACAGTGTATTCAATCCTTTGAAACTCACGAATCAGACATAAATAGTGTGCGGTAAGTGATTTGTTTTTCAATTATAAATAGTAGAGTTAAGCATATTTTTTTATTTATCCTACAGTGGCGAAATGCACATTTCAAAATCCCTATGTGTAGATTCATCTTGTGTTATAACCTCTTTGAAACACAGGCCATTATTCTGTCATTGTTTTCAAACAGTGAGTTTCTAAAATTCAGATACACACTGCATTAAGAGATGAAATAGTCCCTAACTGTGGCTGTTTCTTTAAAATAGATATTATCCCAGTGGAGATGCATTTGCATCTGGCTCAGATGATGCTACAGTAAGTATTCAGATATTATTTACACGTCTGATCTTAAAAGAATGGCTCAACATTTTGGGAAATATGCTCATTCATTTTCTTGTTGAGAGGTAGATGAGATGATCGGTACCACTCTTATGAATGTATGGTAATTATAAAGCTACCGCCAGCAGATGGTTAGCTTAGCTTAGCATAAAGACTGAAAATGGGAGAAACAGCTAGCCTGGCTCCATCTAATCCACATACCTTCATGTTATGTGTAAAATGAACACCTTGTGGTCTGATAGAATGGTACTGATCTTGTCATCTAACTCTGACAAATAAAAGCAAAGAGGATTATTTCCCATGATCTTAAAGTGGCAGTAGAGAAGCTCTGCTAGATATCTCTTAAGTGTTATTGGTATTGCTATATTTAAAACTCTGTTGAAATTGCAAACACTGACCTCTGTTACAGTGCCGCCTGTATGACTTAAGGGCAGACAGAGAAGTGGCTATTTATTCGAAAGAGAGCATCATATTTGGGGTTTCCAGTGTTGATTTCTCTCTTAGTGGTAAGAAATATACTGATTTTTCCTTCAAAGTTATTCCATATATTGAATCAAACACAAGGTCATAACGATGCAGTTTCTCCATAGCTTAAAGGTATTGGTTTTACATTTGCATTTGTGTGTGTGTGTGTGTGTTTCAGGCCGGCTACTGTTTGGTGGCTACAATGACTACACCATAAATGTTTGGGATGTTCTGAAAGGAACACGGGTCTCTATTCTGTTTGGACATGAGAACCGTGTTAGTACACTGCGTATTTCCCCAGATGGGACTGCCTTCTGCACAGGCTCCTGGGACCACACTCTTCGGGTATGACATGCCTACTATTGTCTGATACGACACTTTTACAATCTAGAGTCAACTTTATGACGATGTCATGTAATGTTTGTTGCACTTGATTCACAGATCTGGGCTTAAGGACGAAGACTACTCACCAATGTTTGTGTTTGCTAAAGTACAATCACAGAGACTCCGTTTTGGTTGTACATAGAGCATATCAATAGCACTGTATATACTCCAGGCTCATAGCCAGGGTAGATTTACATATTTCAGCAAGTAATTAAACCAAATGATAGCTTCTATTACAATATGATTGAAAGAAAATTGCACACAAGAACTTGCGGTTACAAATTAAGATGTATAATGCATATTGTAGAAAATAATATTGGTAGTTACTAACATCTGACTAGGATAGAATTGACACAATAAAGTGATGTATTTTATGTGCCCACATAAAGGAATTACTTGTTGATTTCTATTTATTTATTTATTTATTTGCACAAAAACAATGCAGAAATGCACTCTGTGAAGAAAATGGGTTACAAGGAAACAAAATATGTCTGCATGAGAAAACATAGTAAGACCACAGACTGAGAAAAGAGACAGGGGAGGATAGTAATGTGGTTTCTCTGTAAATTAAAAATGTTGGAATGCTTAGACTGGTTTGTAGAAATGTTTCAACATTAGTTAATCTGAAGTAATTAAAATTAATACTGTATGTAAAGGTGTATTGGCATTAAATATTATGACCATAAAACATTATGACCAGTACAAAAGCAGTCTATTAAAGAAAGAGAACAAATTTAGATTTTTAACTCTGCAACATGTGTGCCCTACAAACGTTCCCCATACTTGCCAGCATTTCACCTGCAAATATTCTAATATGAGAAAGCACATTTACAGGTAAAATTAGAATATGTTTATTTTTCATTCTTGTGATCTTAAAATGAGGTTCACCCTCCCACCAGATATCTAAATACTAATATATGAAACATCTAAATTCTTAGAATGCACTCCTTTTCATGCAGTTGTCCAATGGCTGTAATTTCATATGTACTGCAATTATTTTATTGTAGTTTAGTGTACAGTTATACAAGGGACTGTTTATCTAAATATTACAACCATAATAAACTAAGTTTTGCACCTTAACTGTGTCTCACTATTGTTCTTTCCCTTATATTTTCGTGTTACATGTATTTTCTTGTAAACGTACTGTACAATGCAGATCTTCACTGTTTTTTTTAAGGTTTTAAATAAAGTTTCCCAAACAAAAGCGGAAGTGACATCATCAGCAAGCCTGCTGAATCAAAACAATGGCCGACAGGCACACTGGTATTTTACTTATTGTCATATTTTTTATGTTTAACGGGTGACATTCACAGTCTCTGTGTAAGAAACTCTTACCCTGATGGATAGATGATAGATGAGTTATGTGAATTTTGAAAGAAAGAAGCCAGTTGTCAAGGCCGCTTTTCGCTACCAAAATGAGCGACGTTGTGGAGAAAACCCTGACAGCTCTGCCGAGCCTCCTGTCTTTAGAGTCTCAGCCTGGATCTGCAAAACTGTCCTCCACCTCAAAACTAGGGAATCTCATCAGAGGGATCACCGAACTAACGTCCAAACATGTGAGTCTGACCTTTGAAACCAGGGTTCAGATGAAATAACACGATTCTTGGTCAGTTATTGATTATTAACGTTAGCTTGCTAAGATGACTGTGCTAATCTAAATAAGGCTTTTGTGTGTGTGTGTGTTTTAACGCACTTAGTACATGTCGTGCAGTATTGTGCTAAGTCTTAGACCGATTTACAGCCAGTTTCTCGTTTTTACCATGTTATCATCACCTCGTCAAAAAGCTGGGACTATTTTTAAAAAGTTGTCCTTGTTGGTGCGTTCAGTGTCTTGTGATAAGCTCAGACATTCAAGATGTTAGAATTAGCTGCCTATATACTATGCACGAACAAACTGTTTATGGGAATTTAGCCTTGGAAGGCAGACACGGACATAAGGAAACATCCTTCTCCTGCTCATCAACATATCCTGAAGTCTTTGTTGTTGTAATAATATCCCACAAACACATGAATGCACTAATCATAAAATGTTTTTAAAACTGCCTGTATTTAGAACTGCAATTACTGTGCAACAATTTGTTCATATTAACTTTAACCATGTTTCTCCTGTTTAGGAAGAAGAGAGACTTATTCAGCATGAACTAGTGTCTATCAAAGAACGGGTGTCCTCCCCCAACACTTCCATGGTACGCTTCTCCTCATTGGTCTTTAATCAGATCAGTGATAGTTCTGTGAGTAAAATCATTGATGTGTTTACTTCTTGCTTGTGTGTCTGATTCAGAGGCAGATGAAGGAGCTCATGGTGAGAGCGATCTACTGTGAAATGCTGGGTTATGAGGCTTCTTTCAGCTATATTCATGCTATCAAACTGGCTCAACAAGGCACTGTTCTGGAGAAAAGAGTTGGTATGTTGTTTTGTGATTGGCTAAAAATGTTATTTACCTAATTATGAAACAAATCCACCGCCTCCACACCTCCTTCTACACTGGGCAAAACAAATTTTTCATGTGATTTTCAGGTTACCTTGCTGTATCCTTGTTTCTGAACGAGAGTCATGAGCTGCTGCTTCTCCTTGTTAACACTGTGTTAAAGGTGGGTGTCAGTTTGTTAGTTATGTAATCTCAGGTCTGAACCAGAATCAGGGATCTTGAACTATTTTGTGTTTCCAGGATCTTCAGAGCACAAACCTTATTGAAGTGTGCATGGCTCTAACTGTTGTCAGCCAAATATTTCCCAAAGATATGATACCTGCAATCCTCCCTCTGGTGGAAGAGAAACTTAATCACCCAAAGTAAGAAATGCTATATGCTGTTCCAGTCTGATTTGTTACCTATATGATTTCAAGTGTTTTTAGTCATTTTTAAGTGGAGCATGAAAAATGTATTTGAATAATATGATTTCTAAGTTGTTGTTTTTTTACATATTTGAAGAGAAATCATTAGAAGAAAAGCAGTCCTGGCACTTTATAAATTCTACCTAATAGCACCGAATCAAGTTCAACATATCCATAACAAGTTTCGCAAAGCTCTTTGTGACAAGGATCCTGGTGTGATGACAGCCTCACTACACATCTACTTACAGATGATCCAGGTAGTCTGTTTTTCTGGACTTTATAATTATTTATTAGTGTACAACTTTGCCATAATGTATGATAATAATAGGCGAATCCAGATGCCTTGGTTTGATTTAATTTGGTGTAATCTACTCCTGCAATATTTTTTTTTATTTTTTTTTTATAGGAGAAACCAGAAGGCTATAAGGACCTGACTGCAAGTTTTGTCACCATATTGAAACAGGTGGTGGGAGGGAAGCTGCCCATGGATTTTAATTATCACAGTGTTCCTGCTCCATGGCTTCAAATCCAGCTTCTCAGAATACTGTCCTTACTTGGGAAAAATGACCAGAGGTAATTATTAATTATTTTGTCTTTGGATGAAGTGGATACATGTGGTTGTGTTTTGGTAACAAATGAGTCTGCTTTGTGTTCACAGTACAAGTGAGGTCATGTATGAAGTCCTTGACGAGTCTATGCGAAGAGCCGAGATGAACCATAACATCACCTATGGTTTGTCACATTTAGTCACATTTCTGATAAATGTGATTGTTTGAATCATTAAATAATTATTTAGCAACTTATATAAGTCTTTTTATTTCCAGCAATATTATACGAGTGTGTAAAATGCATTTACACAATTCATCCTAAATCTGAACTTTTGGAAAAAGCTGCAAAGTGCATTGGCAACTTTGTTCTGTCACCGAAGATAAATCTCAAATATCTAGGTAGGATCCAAAGAAAACATGATTTAATATAAGGAATTTTTGCTCCATTGACAATCAGGATTTCACATATAAAGTCTATTTATTTGGTGTTGTTTTAGGCTTGAAGGCTCTCACCTATGTGGTCCAGCAGGATCCTAAACTGGCCCTGCAGCATCAGATGACCATCATAGAATGTCTTGATCACCCCGACCTCATCATCAAGCGTGAGGTGAGGCAGATACCGGGGTAGTTTGGACTTTGGCATCATAGACCAGTTTTCAGGATTTGGTGCATTTTTTGTTCTCTTGTAGACACTGGAGCTGCTCTTTCGGATCACCAATGCCCAGAATGTCACAGTCATTGTTGAGAAGATGTTGGAGTTTCTGCAGATGAGTAAAGATGACTACACTACCATTGACCTGGTGGGGAAGGTGGCAGAACTGGCAGAAAAATATCCTTCTGTGTGTGACAGTGCTCAGTGTTAAATGTACATTAATTTAGCTCTAGTGACCCACTGCACCTGAAAAAAATCAATAGCATGCTGTTGTAGTGTTTTATACCTTGTTTTCTTCCATTTGTTGTGTTGCTGATTCCTATAAACAATATACATATGCGCCAGACAATGAATGGTTCATTGAGACCATGAACACAGTGTTTTCAGTGGGTGGAGACATGATGCAGCCTGACATCCCAAACAGTTTCCTTAAACTGCTCTCTGAGGGTGAAATAACCTCACACACACAACTTGTGCTGTATCGTTCTTGTGTTGCGATATTTCACTTCAGTAATTTCATACTGGTATTGACTAGAATATTATAATGCTTGATTTTTCTTTAATGGCCCAGGATTTGACAGTTTGGAGGAAGACAGGAAGTTGAGGCTGTTTGCAGTGAATTCATATGTTTCTTTGCTACAAGGAGAGCCAGGCAAACTGCCCCAGCGCTTCCTCCAAGTCATCAGCTGGGTGAGTGCTGTTTACATTTCTGTAATAATAATGAGAACAATAAGCAGAAGAAGAAAAAGGAATAGTGTTTGACTGGAAACATATCCTGCCAATTTCTTCATAATTTTCAAGCATTAAAAGGAAGAACAGTAAAATATGAGAAGAGATGAAAATACAACATACACTGCTCAAAAAAATAAAGGGAACATAAAAATAAGACATTCAACTATGTTGTGTTCCCTTTATTTTTTTAAGCAGTATACATTTAATTGAATGCCACCAATAATAACTACAGGAAATAACAGCAAGCCCATTAAAATGCAATGTAGAATAAAGAGAAAAAATATTCTTTGGTTTAACTGGTCACAACCAGTAGATGTATGCAGATACCTAGGAGGGCATACATTGCTTTGCTGTAAGGGGTAACTTGGGCATCAGTAGAGGAGGTTGCAGTACTTGTAAGCAGGAGGAGCTACAGTCATGAGATTGTGATTTCTAAATGTTTTACAGAAACAAACATAGTTGTAAGGAACAAGACATTACTCTTCTGTATCTGTTATATACTCTGAGGTTTTGCGCCCTCTGTGCCGTGCTCAGGTCCTTGGTGAATACTCCCACTTGAGAAAGGAACTGGAACCAGCCACAATCATGATGCTGCTGGCCAAACTGCTGGACATGAAGCAAACCAGCAATGAAACCAAGAGCTGGGTCCTCATGGCAATGAGCAAGCTCTGTGAGGGTGGGGCAGGTATTTCTGTGGCTCAGGAGGTTTCTGAAACATACAGCAGCTCAATGGACACAGTGCTGAGACAGAGGGCTCAGGAACTGCAGCACCTCAGCCAAGACTCTGAGCTATATGCCAGGGTGCTGCCTAGAGATGGTGGCCTGGAGCCCCTGGAGGTAACATACCTGCAGGGCTGAAAAATTACAATAGTTATTAAGTGTGCTGTATATTTTGATTGCATGTCATTAACATGGAAACAGTTACTTAAATGTGTCCACTGGACATGAATAAAATTTGGTGCCAGAAACACAGTAAAGTGATTTAGCTCCTGGAACCACAACACATAACATCAGTTTGTACTTCTTCCTCTCTGGCACAGTAAGCGCTCATTATCTGATGGTCGGAAAGAAATCCTGCATACACTTGCCCTCCGTGACACTCAGTCGATTAGATTAATAACAGTATTTACCAAAATAATGGGGACTGTCATTTCAGCTGTAACCATAATAGCTGTTCCAGCTTGTCTGTATTTGCAAGCACAAGCATCTTTAGTTTGCAGATCCTGTGGAACGTTTCCATAAACATGTGGAACTAATCTTCTCCTCTTCATTAAAGGAGAAGTTTAGACTTGCAATTCGTTGTTTTCAGGTTGATTCCTCTTTGTCATTTCTGGATGGATTTGTGTCAGAGGCGTTGGCTGCTGGCGCAGCTCCATACAAGCCTCCCCATCAGCGGCAGGAGGAACTAGCTCAGGCAAAAGGTAAAAATTATTTGAACTTTTAGACAATGGCAGATTTGGCAGCATGTGCAGTGCCTTGTTTTGATTGGTTCGGACTGTTGTCTGCCTCAGCATTGAGCCTGGAGCCATATGGCCTGTCCCTGCCTATCAGCATGTCTTCATGCAGCATTGCGGACAGACAGTCTCCTACCCTGCTGTCCATGAGCTCTGGTCTGTCAGGAGACAGCACCGACCTCTCACACAAAGGAGGGTACGTTGTTACAACATGTATACCCCCCTGCTGGCAAAACTCAGTTTTTTTTTTAATTGTTTTTAATTCACACTGATGAGTCACTGTTTGTTTTAGATCTACAGCTCTGAAGCTGGATGGAGTGAAGAGGGTGTGGGGGAGGGATGGCTACCTGGTGCAGAGGGAACATATGGAAGAGGTTGTGCAGGTTGAGGTTCCCAGTCCCCTCCTGTCCCCCGGCCAGCAGGCAGAGGCCGACAGCTCGCACAGACAGACTCCCAGAGCAGCGCAGACCCCTGAGCCTGAACAAGAGAAACAACAGCTGGTGTCTTCGCTCTTTGTCGGCATCAGCCCCCAGAGCTCTGTATGTCTGTCTGAGTTGGGGCTGCACAATATGGAGAAAAGTGCCAGTTGTGTTATCATTTATTTGAAATTTTCAAAGTAGTTACAGTGATTATATTTCTCTTGACTGACTAATCATCTTAGGTTTACTGTTCTTTCTCACAGATTGGAAAATCTGAGCCAACAGCCCAGCGACTTAGAAGAAAAGCCAAAGGTCAGGGCTCATCTTCTGTAGCCAGCAAGCAAATATCCAACTCCCTCGTCTCTCCGCCCAGCACTGTGGATAACTTGCTGTGTAACAACCTGCTGGACTCCAGCATCAACCCAGAGCTGGCAGGTTCCTCCCCTGAACACACATCTGAACTCACTGCTGCTAATGGCACCTGCGAAGTAGAAGCTGAGTTAGCTGACAGTGGCATAAGGGGAGCTGAGCTCTCTGTCCTTGAGGATAATGGTTTGGCGGCTGATGCTCTTGTTTCACATAAAGACCCAAACAGACAAAAACACTTGTGTCTAAGTTCTCATCTTCCTGCAGAGCTCTCTGGACTCTCCTGCTCAGACATTACTCTTCTGTGCTCCAACCAAAGGCTGGATCTCTCAGCCTGTCATGTACTGAAAGAGGATTCCTTAGTGCTAGTTGTTTTCATTACAAATTCCTCAGGTACTACTAGATCTTGACTCAGAACAACTTGAGGTAATGTATTCAGCTGAAAATTATTTATGAAGTTCAATGCTGTTTTTATTAGTCTTTCATATTAAGGACATTTCCATTTTCAGGTATCCTGTGTGTCTGACAGTGCAGTGGAGGTGGTGAGAAGCCACGATGTAGCAGTGTGTCAGTATTCCCTGATTGTGAAGAGACCTTCAGTTCACGTTGAAGTGGTCGGGACGGTTTCTTACCAGTTCCCTGTCGGAAGGCCTGAAGCAATGCAGGTCTTATACAAACTTCCTCTCACCAGCTTCATCAGGTGACATATTGTTCTGCTTGTATTTGAAGCGAGGTTATGAAACGACCGTTGGTGACCTACTTTGTTTTCACAATGACCACAGACCCTTGACAGTGTCCACCGAGGAGTACGGGACGATGTGGCTGGCGTTCTCTCATGATACAAAGCAGAATCTGACACTGATAAGTGACGGCCAAGAACCTCTCACAGCCACACTGAATGTACTGAGGAAGAAACTTCAGCTTCATGTTGTGGAAATCATAGGTGAATAGGCTTTTGTTTTCTACTCAGACTCAGCTGTAAGATTTATATCAACATTACTGAATGTATGATTTAATGGCTAAAGTATGTAATAATCAGGGATTAATACCTTACTTTGTAGCAGTCAGGAAATTTATCTCACTAGAAAAACATGCAAATACACAACATACTGTATATGGAGGACATGTGGTCATATGCACATTTACATTCATGCCAATGCTGATAAATCAAGTATTATTGTTTTATAAACCAAAATCAAGATATTAAAGCTGGAAAAAAAAACTGTTGATGATGCCAGCTAAGGTATTTTTTTGCCACAGGACAACTCAAAAGTTCAGTTCAGTTTCATACATTATTTTTCCTTTAGTGAATTGTGTGCAGCAGCTCATCATACAGATCATCAGATATACACAGTGGAGAGGAAAGAGAGTAATATTAAACATCACAAAACTAAAAATCTTAATATTTTTGAGCTGAAAAATATGTAAATGAATGATAAACTGGCCTTAACAGAGCTATTATTTGCAACATAGGAACACTAAAGACAGTATGTGCTATTAGAAAGATTGCATTCATTTGTCCATTCAACAGGGACAGTCGATAAATGCATATTTGGAGCATCTCGAATTGTGACGTTTGCACATTTAAAGCTGACATGCATACATGCGTTAAATGTGCAGTACATAACCAAGAGGTTGATATGTGTTGCATGCACACAACCTTTATCGCTGTCCCCCACAGGAAATGAAGGTATTGTAGCTTGCCGGCTCCTCCAGGCTCAGCCATGTCTGATGCACTGCCGTGTGTATGCTGGTGCGCTGGCTGTGTGGCTGCGCTCTCCGGTCCCCGATCTGCCCGACTGCTTGATCTATCATTGTCAGAGAGCTTTACAGGAGCACTGAGCCCCAACTGCAAAACCTTAACTGATGCCACTGAGCAACCGGAGCACTGCACCCTCAACCACTGAAGAGGAAGGTATATAGAATGCATGACATCTGATGTTGAGCATTCACATCTTTATAGCTCACTGTTTACCATTTGTTTATCTCTTCCACTGTGTGTTGCTTAGCAGGTTTTGGATCTTTTGGTTTTTAACAGCTAAATTAGTAGTAGGTAATAACTTCCAGACCATAAGACTGTTTATTTGGCCCCATGTGGGTGTTTGGTATTTCAGAATAACACTGATGTCTTCACATAATTACAATGCTCTAGAATGACTTGAACACTTTAATGCTGAAAACACTGTTCATCTGTGAAATCAATACTATGTATGAAGTTCCTGGTATAGGGGGAAAGTCCCGAATTCAGATTGATGGCAATAGTTTTAAGAATCAGGTATTTTATGGTTTAGAACAATCATGACAGAACAGTGACGCTCATTTATATCTAAATAAGACAAAGGCAAAGGTTGGATTTTTCATTTAGCATGTTAAAACATTTTGCTGTTAATAAAATAGGTCATTATTTTCAGGTTCTTCAGAGCTAATTCAAATGGAAAAATTTGCAGTTTCTTTTCAAGAGAATCTGGTCATCTGCTGAACTTTCAACGTAACAACAAAGGTTTACATTTTTTGCTTGTCTAAAACATCACATTATGCTGACATTAACATCTAACTGCAGCGGTTACATTTAATTCTTACGGCCACGATGAATATTTTGTCTTATAGCAGGATCGCACTCTGTGATTCCCTTATTGTCAGTTTATCATTATGACGATGTTGTGCAGGCACTGCCTTCTGTGTGATATAATTATCTATGCACACATGTTTCTGGTTTGTAGTTTCTGTGAGAGGTGGATTTTAGCGGTCATTGATTATTATATTTTTGTATCAAAGCAATATTAAAAGATATTTATTGGGTTTATACAAAATATTTTTAATTTCAATGAAAAGAAAAAAAAAGAGCTTGTGCTTCTCTTTTGATTGCACTGTGCCAGATTTTCAGTTTGTACAACATGTCTCAGCTTGTTTCATTTAGTTCAACCTGAAGGGAAAGTTTACCTTGGTTCTTTTTTGCCTGTGTCTTTATTTATAACCCAGCATCTAAAATCCAGTTTTAAACCAATGCCTTCTGTTCAAACTCCAGGGGGTGTGTTTGATTTGTGCCTGTGGCACATAGGAAACTCGTTGTTTCATAGAGTACCTGTCACTACGTTCTGCTAACTTATCAATAAATTCTACACATGTATCTGTATTTCATTTTGACTCAGTGACTGTTTATTCAGTAGAGACTATGTCCTGGGCTTCTGTCCTCATGTTCACACCTCTTTTATGTGTTTATATTTAAGATTTACAGAAGAGGATTAGGGCCACTGTACAACATTTGAGTTCTGAATTCTCTGAATTCTCACTTTTGTTCTCAGAGTGAATTTTGAGAAAAAAAAGTCAGAACTTAAATGTTGTACAGTGGCCCTAATCCTCTTCTGTAAGTATATGATGAAACAAATATTTACAATATTTACTGAATGAGTACTGTTTACCTGGACGTTAGACCAAATGTACGAACAAATAGTGCTAACATTGTACCTATACTGATTTGATGTCCCTTGCACACAGTCCACCTGTCAAAGAAGACAACATCTTTATTTTTTATCTCATATGCCTGTAATGTCCAGAGTTGACATGAGAAATTCAGGAAACAGTTATAGGAACATAAAATAAATTTTGTGTGAGCTGAAATTATGTGCTGTGAACTAACACTGTTCACTATATCATGTAGTTGCTTTGATTCTATTTAACACATCATTCATCTCGTGCTCAACAACCGAGTCAGGCAACAAATGGAAATGGACAGTAGTGGAATGATAAGATGAGTAACCATCGGAAAACATATTGCAAAGCAACAACAATGTTCTTTCCACCCCAGTGGAGTTTTCTTGTGAGACTCTCTGGGGTTTTGGTCACTTTTTAGAATATTTAATGAAGCCAAGCAAAAACTGTAAACGCTAGAGATAAGCTGTGTTATTTAAAGCAATACACTAGAGGGTTAACCAGATATGTTATTTGGAACTACCAGCACATGCAAACAGACAATGGCTTTATGGTAATGAGTTAAAAATTGCTGGTGCTTACATGGAAAAGGTTCTCAGTGGCTTCAGAGCCAGAAGATGGGATGTGACTGAACCCATTCTCATTGTTTCCCATTGCTCGTTTTAGGTCAAAGGTCAAAGTGTTTATTTGTCATATGCACAGTTAGGAAACATGTTTCCCTGTATGAAATTCTTACTTTGCCGTCCACATGAATGCCACATAATACAAGTGAAATATAAAGTAGATGAGCAATAACACAAATCTAAATAGGCAGTAAAATCACAAATCTAAGGCACTTTAAAGCAGCAAGTGAACACAATATAATGCAGATAAAATATATGCTACATGGGAGCTGTGGAGTGTAAATACTCAGCAGTGAGTGTACAATTATGCATGTGCAAAATGAGTATGTAAACAGTACAGATGGAATTACATGAGGTAGATCCTGAGTCAGCTGTTTATGAGTCTGATGGCAGGGA